CACAGCAAGACGTGCAGCAGCATCGCGTGTGGCCCACTGTGAGCGAACAGTGGCGTCAGCATCAGCAGCAGGGGCAGGAGAGGCACCAGAAGTGAGGTCAAAGAGGGAGAGACCGTCTGCCCTATCGCACTATAGGAAAAGCTGCAGGTCATCTACCCAGACGTCAAAGTCAATGGCCCGACCCTCAGCGTCAAAAGCGAGGACACTGGGGGTAGCCATGACAGCAGTAGACTAGCAGCGCGAGAAGTAGGCTAAGGGCAGTGCAGTGGTAGAGGTGCTGCTCTTACCGGGCAGGCGAGAAGGACCGAGGCTCGCCGGCAGGAACAGGGCCGCGACGGCAGTGACCGGGTGTAGCGGACAGGGCGGCTCGGACGGCTCGGCGGCTCGTCGGCACGGCAGCAACAGCAGCTCGGCGGCTCGGCGACTCGGCGGCTCGGGCGGCTCGGGCGGCTCGGCGGTTCGGGCGGCTCGGGCGGCTCGGCGGGAGCGGCGGCTCGGTTGCTGCAGGGATAGTGGCAGCTGCTGCTGCAGGGACGACGGCGGCGACTGCTGCTGCAGAGACTGCGGCGGCCGCTGCTGAAGGGACGACGGCGGCGGCCGCTGCTCCAGGGAAGGCGGCGGCCGCTGCTGTAGTGGGCGACGGCGGGCCGCAAAAGGGGGGGGGGGGCGTAAGGGGCCGCGTGAGGGGCCGTAAGGGGCCGCTAAGGGCGGCGTGAGGGGCCGCAAGGGCGGCGGCGGGGCCGAGGAGCGGCGCGAGGGGTCGCAAGGGCGGCGCGCGGGGCCGACGAGAGGCGTGAGGGGCCGCAAGGGCGGCGCGCGGGGCCGACGAGAGGCGCGCGAGGGGCCGCAAGGGCGGCGCGCGGGGTCGACGGGCGGCACGAGGGGCCGTAAGGGTGGCGCGCGGGGCCGTAAGGGCGGCTCAAGGGGCCGCTAAGGGCGGCGCGTCGGTAGGGAGGGCACTCGGGGCGCGACTCGGGCAGGGGCGAAGCGCGCTCCGGGCAGGAAAAAAAAATATCGAGGTGGGCCCTAGAGAGCGTTCCCACTAGGGAACCTGCTCTGAAACCATGTGGAAATGAAACGAGGAATGATTGAACTGAGCAGCATGAGAAGTACAAGTACCAAACCCTAAAGTGCTGTACCCCATATAAGCTACCCCACTACAGCCTACACAGACTATAGTGTATGAGTTTGACAGGACAGAGCACGCCGCACCATCACACTGACTCAGTCACACATGGTGCAGCAGGTCCTTCAGCGCTTTGGTTTCACCTGGTCCTCAGCACAGGCCACTCCTCTGGCTACAGGTCACTCGCTCTCAGCTCCACCTTCGGACGAGTCCGTAGAGACGAGTGGTCCTTACCCAGAGTTAGTGGGCTGCCTCATGTACCTGATGACTTGCACTCGTCCTGACCTTGCGTACCCTCTTGGCCTTCTGGCTCGCTACGTGGCTCCTGGTCGGCACCGAAAGGTGCACATGGATGCTGCCAAGAGGGTACTACGCTACTTGTGCAGTACATCTGGCATGGGGCTCCTGCTTGGAGGACGGGGTGACGTTGTCCTCACTGGTCACTCGGACGCCTCTTGGGTTGACGACCAGGCTACGCAGCGGTCGTCACAGGGTTACACCTTCAGCCTTGGCTCTGGTTCAGTTTCTTGGCGTTCTACACGCTCGTCTTCAGTTCTCGGCTCCAGTTGTGAGGCTGAGATCTACGCCACAGCCATAGCTGCACAGGAGCTTTGCTGGCTCACCTACCTGCTGACTGACTTGGGAGAGCGGCCTCGTTCTCCTCCAGTGCTGTACGTCGACAACAAGGCCGCCATTGCCTTGTGTCAGGAGCACAAACTGGAGCACATAACGAAGCACATCGCTCTCCGTTATTTTCTTGCTCGAGAGCTGCAGCAGCGTGGCCAGCTTCGTCTTACCTACGTGGCCACTCGGGCCAACACTGCTGATATATTCACCAAGGCGCTTCCGCCTGGTGATCATCAGCGTTTCTGCACTTTGTTAGGCCTTGTGCCCACGCTTCCTCACTTGCTGTAGGCTTTGTTTGTACCATGATTTATATGTATTCCTGCATGTTTGTTCTTGTAGGTAGATTTCACTGTACTGTTGTTGTTACATATATATCTCTGCATGTGAACTGGCCTTGTGGCCTTCTTGCTTGTGCTCAGACTGCGTGGTGACGTTGTGATCCACCAACCCTCTCGATAGTCGACATCACTTTTGCCTACAATTTTAACACTCATAATTACACATGTCTCAGTAAACCCAACTGTAATGAAGCACGTTGCCTTTGCAAGAACAGAAAGCAAGCTTTCTCAATATGAATTTTTTTGAAAGTGTGTAACACTTTCTAAAAATGTGTATTGTGAAAGTGCAGCTTACTGTAGCGAAGCAAGGCAACGGCGAATTACTATTCGCCGAGTACATAACGAGGGTTGGAGGCCTTTTGGCCTCCACCCACGTCTTCATTTCGGAACTTTGCAGTTCCATTCCCCACCCACCCACCCTAGTCGTATACTTGTAAAATCTATAAGTAGGTTGGACGAGAATGATGTAATTACTGCAACTGTAATGAAGCACGTTGCCTTTGCAAGAACAGAAAGCAAGCTTTCTCAATTCCATGTTTCCTTCCGCGTTACTCTCTCACGACTTTCAAGCATCACTTGGTACCACTCCACAAGCCATAACCACATAAGCCTGATTCTCACGATCGCCTGATTACCGTATATGTTTGCGGGAAGATACTTTGTACTTCGCCTGATTTCTACTTATCAGCATTCTCTTGCTCCACGCAATGAATTGCATCGGTAATTAGGTCGTGAGTAACTACAAATACGGTAAGTCAATGAAATCACTGATTAACGTTCACATGTCTTGCGTGATTCCATGGGTGTCACCACCACATTAGAGTAGATCCCCTCAACTGTATCCTCCTACCGCTTTCGAACACCGCAGTCCTCTAGTATGTGTTCATGTCTTTCAGACTTACCCATTACTACCTTAGTGTTTAGACATTGTCATGTATTCATTATAGGTAATTAATTTTGGTGTAACTTATCTGCAATCGTGACACTAAAATCTCACTGTACCGCGGCTTGCTGTGTGTATCCAGGAAATGGGTATGAACAATAAAGGAGCTATATTTATGAAACAGTTGATAAAGTTGCATGTACAGCTATACTCGGTAGTAAGTTGCGCCCTTGGCATTGAATTGCACGACCCCAATTTGTTGGCTCGGCGAACTTCGTCCACCTCAGTAAACGCTGTTCACCAGCTCGTCGTTGACTCCGGGGGAAGCGCGTGAGTCGCATTGGCAGCTCCGCGAAATTTAGCTCAACTCTACACGGTCAGCCATGCGAAATGTAATTTGCTTCGTTGGAATCGCTTGCCCGTTCGCACTGTCTCATCTCATCCCGTCGCATCCGTGCCAACAAGGCCGAACATTTCTTTCCCTCCCTCCCCCTCCCTCCCTTGACTTTCCTTGACTTGCTTTCCGTCTCCTCCTCCCACCTCAGAGTTGTGGAGGCAAACCACACCAAGAACCCTCGAGTTTACTTCCTTTCCCGAATACGCCTGAGCATAAGAACGCAATGAATCCGCCTAACAAGGACATTCTCACGCAACCATTCATAACTTCTGAGAACGATTAGATTTGCCTTTTCTAATTCCCTCGTATATCTCGGTCGTTTCTTCTTTAATTGTATATTCACGCGGGTGTTTCCACCAGCAGTAGGAATTACTCCAAGCCCAAACATCGCGATGAAGCCGCTTGCATACACCATCCTCCTGCTCTTCCTCCTCGGTACTTTCGATGCCGCGCTCGCGCGACCCAAGAGGGCGCGCCCCAAGCGCGCAAGCCCCGCGGTGTTCATGGACGAGCGGCCGTGGTATCCTCCCCCGCAAAGGTTCCGCCCCAAGCGCGCCAGCCTCGCGCACCCGCTGCTAGACCAGCGCGAACCGTCTCTGCGGAGGTTCCGCCCCAAGCGCGCCAGCCTTGCGCACCCGCTGCTAGACCAGCCCGAACCGCCACCATTTAGGTTCCGCCCCAAGCGCGCCAGCCTTGCACACCCGCTGATGGACCAGCGCGAACCGTCCCCCCGTCGGTTCCGCCCAAAGCGCGCCAGCCTCGCGCATCCGCTGATGGATCAGCGCGAGCCGTCTCCGCGGAGGTTCCGTCCGAAGCGCGCCAGCCTTGTTCACGCGGCTGAGAGCGCCCCTAGCGCTCCGCGTATGTTGCGCGGAGGAGGCTACGAGATTATCCGCGATGAGCCTGTGACTCGCTATAGTACGGTGGACCCGAATGATTATTACCCGGACTGGTACACTCCCCCGACGTACTGGACTGACCTGGGATACGGTAGCAGCTGGGACTATGGCAGCGACATGAGCCCTTACGGCGATGCCTACGTGAACATGGATGTGGATTATAATAATGGTTATGGCAATGATTGGTTGTATGGAGGGTATGGCTCTGGGAACGGCGGGTATGACTCAGGGTACGGCGGGTATGGCTCAGGGTACCAGGGGTATGGAGACTTCGAATATTGGTAGGTATTTCTCCAAGACTTTGGCTGAGTGTTTATCTTCGTGATCTTAGCTAGGAATTGAGCCTGTTCCTCACGCACGACAGGGGAAATTTGGTGAAGGGGGTTCTGAGATGTGAGCCTTGGGAATAGGGATCTGGGGTCTGGGATAGTGGGTAGTCTCACAAACTGGCTTTTCCTTCTTGATTGTGTGCATGTGTGCATCTGTTGTCGATATGTTTTACATTTTCTTTCAAACTGATGCATTTACACTGTTAGGACTGATCATAAGGGAAAGGTAGATACAAGCAATTTTGCCAGATGCCACATTTATTTTCACTACCAGCTGTTGGAAAACAGGATATAGTTTCAGAAAATATTTTCCATTTTTGAGCATACTTGTCAACAGCAATAACCTGCAGATCATGTACGAAGGTTTATGCTACAGGTGCATACGCAACCATCACATCACCTCAGTGTGCGCCAGTCTCCAGCTCCAGATCGAAGTGATACACACCTGCACCCACGTAAACAACCATTCAATCAGCATATGATTTTCAGAAGAATGTCCTTTCGATGAAGAATATGCAAGAGTAGAGTGGCTATCCTTACCATGACCCTTGCCCACACGTCTCAACTGGGAGACGTAGTCAGACACTTGCTTGATAGCATCGACCTGGACAGATCAAACCAGAATTGTTTCAATCAATCAAACACAAGGAAAGAGTTATCCTAACGAGCATAACCAGTTCACCACCTCGCATTAGGCAAAACATGCGCATACTGATTCATACCTGTTCATTCAAGAAGTTTCCCTCCAGGAAGTCGGTCAGCTGGACATCTCCAGCATCAGATGCCACCTGCATAAGCATCACCAATACGTTAAAACCCCATTTACGCATGGACTTCGAGCTGAACTGCATAAGTAAACCTAATCACCCAGCCATCCAACCAGCACAAAGTAGATTTACAAACCCAGAAACCTGAAACTCATACCTTGTGAAGGGCCAACAGCTTCTCGTTGACCAGCTTCTCAAGAGCTAGCGTAAGCTCCATCGCTGCAAGGCAACAGGCCAGGGAAGCAAGAAAAGCAGCATTATCTCAAAAGCCCAAATTACGACCTTAAACCCGAGACTGCGAATGAGAGCGGAATGCAGACGCACCGTAGAGAGCATCACCCTTCTCGGGGTGGTCAAATTCCATGGTCGCGGGCATCAGGATGGACTGCAGCTTCACCCGGCCACCACGCTTGTTCTGTGGAATGGGTAAGGAACAATGAACATGAATGGTAACCATGTAGGGCATGCCATTCCACAACCCGATAATACATTATCTGATTGCGTTTTTAGTTATTGAAATGGCACGTTTCACATGAACATGTTACACCTCACGAACGCACCTGATACTCCATCAGCTTCTCTGCATGCTCACGTTCCTCCTGGCTGGCTGCCTTGAAGTACCTGCGTTCAGGAAGTTGATACCAACAAACAACATCAGGACAATGCTACCAGTTCTTGAAATCCATTCCTCATCGAGTTCAGAAAACACGTCTGCGGAATCTGAATGTGAGTGTGCAATAATTACTTGGCAAAGCCTGGCAGGGCCACGTTGTCGCGGTCGAAGTAGGAGTACAGCGCATGGTACACATACGAGATGTTGTACTCGATACTGCACGAAACACCAACGGGGCAACAACCCTCGGAATCCAGTCAGTCCACTATCCTTAAAAAAAAACCGTATGTCTCCAAATCTCATTGCCGGGAAAATAGCCGTTGGAGAAGCGTTTCGAAACTCACTTGATCTGCTCGTTGATCCCAGCCTCGGCGGCCGAGGAGTAGTTTTGCCGGGCGAACGACTCCTGCGGCTGGATGACGGCGGGAACCTGGGTAAGCTGGCTCTGCACCTCGGCGAACGGCTCGAACACGACGCCGGTCAACGTCGCCTCGGCTGTGGGCTTGGCCTCAGCGCGAACACCCTTGCGACCTCCGGATTTGACGAAAGCCGGAGCAGGCTTGGTGTGCGATAGGGACCGACCGCCGGCGACGGTCTGTCCGAAGCTGGCAATGGATCGCGCCGCGGAAGTTGAAAGAGAAGCCGCCATGGGTGCTGGTTTTTATTGTCTGGATCAACTGGTAATACCTCGAGATCTGCGAGACAACGTGCGTGCCCTAATAAGGAACGAGAACAAATGAAGCAGCGGAATCCAGGTACGATCTAAGGCAGTTCACATAAATCCCAAGGCGGGAACTTACTCAGACTAGTCGAGCTGTGTGCTGGAGCGTGCGGACAGCACGGGAAAGAGCAGATGCCGAGTTGGCGCCTTAATCCTTGCTGGCAGTGCGCAAGGCAGAGCAGGAACAAGAGCAGAACAGGAAAAGGCTGAGCTAGCAATGAAGCTGCTTCTTGATACTGGGAATCTAAAAAAAGATGAAACAGGCACACCTTTTACACGCATCCTAAACAAAGCCACTATACAAAGAGTACTGTGGTGCGTTGCGCTTCGAAGCTTTTGAGAGAGGTTACGAGGAGTATATATTGTTACACAGCCTTCAAGGGGAAGGCTGGTGCGGAAACAGGGGCTGTGAGTTGGTTTCAGCGTCTGGTTTACACACCGTGAGCACGCATGGGTGAGGTTACTTGCATGCAGAGGGGACTACGTGGCTAGTTGCCCACGTGTTGACTCCGTGTTTTGCACACAGCCTTGAAACCCGTCTATGGGGGTTAGCCAATCACATATTGGGGCCGGAAATGCTATTACCACTTATTTCTAGATGTGTGCTGCTACGTGGAAGAATAGTTCGTTGACGAATCAGGCGTTCGGAGCTATGACACTCGAAGCATCTATAAACTGTAAACAGTTCACTTACATTCTTTAGAATCAATAAACCATGTAATTTTACATAGAATAAACTACACAAACACACACAAATGCTACATTACCAACGTGCTAAGCCACAGCGTGGATTATGGCTAAGGCTAGCTTCTGGATTCTGCGAGCCTCCTCGTTTTGCGCATGTGAGGCTAAGGAAATCACCACATTCTGGAAAGAGGGAGCAGAATCAGGGGCCGCAATTGAAGGAAATAACCACACCTTCTCATTGAAGCGGATGCAACTGTGAGAATAGAGGGGAAAATATCACCAATCACTCACCTGCACGGCGAGGTCTACAGTAGCAGCGGTTGCTGGATCGACAGCACAAATTGCAGCAAGGTGTGGGATTGCCAGCAGCTTCTGCAGAACCGCCGGTGCCTCATTCTCCCTCCCACGGCCCTGTTGGAGGGTGAAAATCAGACAAAGAACTTGTGTCGACTGACAATTGGAAGCAGCCGCTTCACCAACCCTGAAGCCTCATACTATTGTAAACACGTGTGTGAGTCAGTGGGTTCATAAAAAGACAAGGCACAGCTAAGCATATGAATATAGCCTTAAAGCTAAAGGTAAGTGTACATTCTTACCATGGCAATGAGGGCGTTGATGAGAGAAGCGTATGGCAGAGGCCATGTTGGAGCCAGCTGGAAGAGCAGACAGACAGCCAAAGACAGAACAAAGTGGGGATGAACGAATGCGAGGAAGGAAGGGAGAAGCCTGTGCGAGAGCAGTGGGCAGTGGGAAAGACGAGAGTGCAGTGGGAAAGACGAGAGTGCAATGGGGAAGACGAGAGTGCATGGGGGAAGACGAGAGTGCAGTGGGAAGACGAGAGTGCAGTGGGGAAGACGAGAGTGCAGTGGGGAAGACGAGAGTGCAGTGGGGAAGACGAGAGTGCAGGGGGGAAGACGAGAGTGCAATGGGGAAGACGAGAGTGCAGTGGGGAAGACGAAAGTGCAGTAGGGAAGACGAGAGTGCAGTGGGGAAGACGAGAGTGCAGGGGGGAAGACGAGAGTGCAATGGGGAAGACGAGAGTGCAGTGGGGAAGACGAAAGTGCAATAGGGAAGACGAGAGTGCAGTGGGGAAGACGAGAGTGCAGGGGGGACGACGAGAGTGCAATGGGGAAGACGAGAGTGCAGTGCATGAAGCAGTGCGTGGCCACATGGATTGAGGGATTTGGGGGTGAGGGTTGGGATTCCAATGTGGCTGTAAGACTTGGGGGTGTGGGGTTCAAAGATGGGGACATGGACAGGGTAGGGAGCGAAGGAGGGAGGGAGGGAGGGAGGGAAGGAGGTAGAAAGGGAGTGAGGGAGGGATGGATCGAGGGAGGGAGCAGGAACCGCTCGGAATGGAAGGAGGGAGGTTCCCTCTGCACCCATCTAGCATCAGACCCAACCTTTCTAGACCCAAAGAGCATACCTCAATGGCGCGCATCAGAAACCGCTCGGAATCTTCCAGCATGCATTTCCTCCCCGCCCGCCCAGCCAGCTGCCCCCTGGGAGCCGCCTGCTCGCCACTCCTGCCTGCCTGGTACCACAGCCACGCATCCCCTGGGCGCAACCCCACTGCCCTCCTCAGCAGCGGCAGGGCTTCTTCAAAGCGTTGAGCTTCTAGGAGGTGGCGGGCTTGCGAGGTGAGGCGCCAGAGCATGAGACTGCGCGCGTCTGCATGGGAGAATGACACTGCCGCTGCTGCTTCTGCGGATGGGGAGGGGCGGCCGACCATGGCTACCGCCCAATTCCCAAGGTTAGCCTTTTCCTCTTCCTCCTCCAGCGCTTCCAGCTCTTGCTCGCTCAGCTCTGGCGGCAGGGAGAAGGTTCGGGGTGCTGCCACGTCAGCGCCTGCCTCCTGATTGGTGGGAGCGGGAGCGCTGGCCCACATGCGATATGGCGCTGCGGCGACTGCGGCTGATGTGGATGATTGGACGGTGGACGAGGAAGGGGAGGGGGAAGGGGTGAGGGGTTCGGGTGGGGAGGGGAGGAGGAGCGAGTCGAAGCAGAGAGAGGTGGAGGAGGAGGAGGGGTTGGGGAGGAGGGAGAAGACAGCCCAGGGATGCAGGAGGAGGAGATCCGAGGAAGAAAGTGAGACCTGTGGCGGCGTGGGCAAGTAGAGACACAGCGGAGGGGGAGGGGAATAAAGCAACAAGTCAAATTTCCAAATCGGATTCTGTAAAACTTAACTTCCTCTCAACTCTGAGCACTGAATAATATCATACGTTGAAACTGGTTCTAACATCTGTAACTTAGGATTCTCAAGAGATTCCAAAACAAATGCCTCCAAAAATAACCTTGGGAATTACGAACACTGGGCGTACCTTGATGGGTGCTGGGAGAGGTAGTTGGTTCGGCCGGGGGAGAAGATTCAAGGAAGGTTCCTTGTCAGCAGCATCCAGCCAATCGGCTACGAGCCAATGGCTGTGCGGGAAGATCGCCAGCTGGGCAGGCGCTGACGTGTCTGAAAAATGTCAAGAGGTGCAACGCTAAACAAGTTGAAAGAAGGAAGACATTGAACGTCATTACATGTCGGACAAACAGAAGCACGCGTCAGACACACGTGTGGCACATGTGAGACACAGGAACTGAGAGCTTCGGTGAAATTAACAAGGAAATTCTCACCTCTTATGACCTCACCATACGAAACCACGTGGCGTTCTGGCAGAACTCACCGCTGGCGTTTTGGGTGGCAACCACAACAGTCAGAATCGCATCATCCAGGCGCTGCCTACTCAGCTCCACGTCAGCAGGCGGCGTGCAGGCGACGTGCCAGCTGTCGCTGACGAAACTCGGGTCCTCGCACGTCTTGCCGTCCAAACAGCCCAGCCCGGCAGACCACTGACGAATCACCGTGTGCCACGTGGCAGGTCCCTGATCGACGTTGGTCCCCGTCACGTCCTCCACCACCCGAAGCGCGGAAGCCGGCAAGGACGGCAGGAGAGCCTTGGCTACTAGCGACGCGGGGGTGGATTCCGATTCGGACGCTGCCGTTGGGAAGAGCTGAGCGGGAAGCTTAGGCGGCTCGGACCATTCCGTTGATTGCGGAAGCGCATCTTTGAGAATGACGAAACCCTCGCGAAGAAGCTGCTCGCGAACCTTCTCGACGTCGACAGACACTTCTTCCTCCGCGTTTGCCGGCGCAGCAGACGCCTCAGCCGCAGGTTTCTCGAAACTCTCTGCGACTTCCACGGCGGCGGAAGATCCGCCGCTAATTGCGGTAGGGGGGAAGGCGCCGATTCCGAGGAGATTAAGGCGCTGCCGGGACACACCATTGCCGCTCTTGAGGAGCTGGCAAGTTATGGTTGGCCGTCGTGATGCCACGTGGCAGTGAGGAGGAAGTTTTTTCGTGACGAACCTGCAGTTCATGCCTGTTGAAGTAACTTCGGAGCGCGTGAAAGCGTCAGATAAGCCAGTGCAGACAAGGGAGCGAGTCGGACAGAAGCTAGCAGTAGCGGAAGCCATGACGTCGCGGTGTCTAGTAACAGGAGCAGGAAAACTATCCGCGGGTGCTTCAAAGCGGTAGTTACGGGCAGTAGTGCGCTTCACAAGAGAACCTTGGATTCTGATGGAGAATATGAGATTCTTGGTAATTGAAGCTGGTGAAGAAGCAATATTTGAATTGCTGCTGTCATTTAGGTTCAGAATGATGGTCAGAAGAAACGCGGTCGAGCAGACAAACTTCAAGGCTCAGAAATACCGATGTGCGACGTCGCAACCCGTCGTTGAGAAACTGTTATGCGACGCACTCGCGATGTGACCTTGTAATTCGCCGCAAACAGGTGAGAAGCTCGCGATGAAACGAAAAGGTGATGTGCGAAGGTGGCGTCGCTGTGCGATCCGAGACCAAATTAGGTGCCTGCGGCTCCAGCTAAGGCTCCACGCTGGAAAATTTGCCACGTCAACTACAAATGTGTGCAGGATTCGTATCGTCGTCAGCCGCGGCCCGGCGCGCTGTGGGCAGGCGTAGCCCGGACACGAGCCACGCGTGCGAAATTTGTCATTTTGATTGGATATCTACCCCTGAAGCACGTGCCGGAAGTTGCCTGCCCGAGAGATCGGCAACTTTGTCGACGCACTTAGCGAAATATATATAGTTGTTCGCCGTATCAGGCCTCAACCCTGTGTGCTCCAGACCAGATTCCTTGCTCAAGTGGTAACTTTCGATCGAAACTGCCATCGCTTGGTCGGTGCGGCGGAGGACAAGGGCAGTGGCTTGGGGGGTTGAACTTGCCCGCTAAAGGACAACCTCACATCCTTGGGTGCGTGCAGTGTAAGACCCAGGCAATGTACTCATGTGAAGTACCAATAACAAAAAAAAACTCTGCTTCAGAAGTTCTTAATGGTAACCATTCATCAACAGCGCTGAAATAAATATGTTATCGGCTCTACTGACAAGATAGAATGGATATGAACATGCCTTACACAAGAAGGGCAAGTAAAATGAAATGAAAGAGCACGGAAAGGATATGTACCGTAGCACCATTTGTGCAAGAGCCCTGCACATACTTAGGGTACGTTCCTGTGGAGACACTTGTGTCTCGATCCTTTTGTGACGCGTAAAACCAGCTTATAACGTACAATGTCACAAACGCGTGTCGCCCTTGTGCAACTTTTAATGTATTTTTCATTTGTCAGCGTGAAACGCGCTGATGTCGCGGACGAGTTGCGTATCGACCCGTCATTGTCAACAACTCTGTACGCGGTTGGAAATGTCAATGCACCTGGACATTCCACAGTAAAAATCTCGCGCGGGAAAAAGTTCCGCTCGTCAAAACCCCACCCGAACCAGACAGTTGAAGAAGCAGGTGTTCAGTCAAGTTTGAAATCCAATCAAATGAGCACAGCTGTAAATTTCGCCTGGTCGCACAGTTTCGTGATACACTCATTTTTTGTGACGCGAGATTGCAAAAATGTGTAGACGCGACTCGGAAAAGAGGGGATTGAGACACAAGTGTCTCCACAGGAACGTACCCTTACTCCATACCTCATAAACTGGACTGGATCACTCCTTCCTCAGCTTTCCTTCTCACTGGACACCCTGCTAACCTGCTCAACTGGATCACTCCATCAGCTTTTGGAACCAACACCAGAAGCAGCATCAGTGCTCTTCCCAACACCCATCTCATCCCCAAACCTCTCCCTCAGCATCGCATGCCAGTCATGAATACACATGCGCCTCGACGAGTCATAAAACCAGAACCGGTTCTTCACCAACCGATCCTTCTTTGCCTCTTTCCCCGAGATCCAGTTATTATGCAGAATCGTGCACCCGCTACACGCATTCGCCACATTCGGCTGATTCCAAAAGTCATGCACAGCCCCGTTCGGGTACATATCCCTCGGCAGAAAAATCGTCCGTAAACCGTTGCTCCACTGACATTCCTCCCGGTGAACCTTCCTCCCCTCAGCATCCACCACGCTTTCCGGAAGCAGCAGCTCCCCTTTCTCCCCGCAGAGAACATCGTAGAAACTCGGCTGTTCCGAAAGCTGTGTCTTGGCTGCATGCGCGACAATCGCCTCGAATCCCTTGACAGTCATGGGATCAGCTCTCGCGAAATAAAACCCCGAGTTGATCCGCCGGATCCCCGTGCCTGACAGCGTCTCGTTCGGCTCGTTGCTCTGGATCGGGAACGTGCCAGGCCCGTACGAGAGCAGGTGCGGGAGAGGATCGGAGAACCACACAATGTCCACGTCAGACCAGAGAACGGAATACCCAGCCTTGAGAACCCTCAGCACCGCGCGGGATTTGAGCTTGGTGAATTGCCGGAAGCACTTGGTGCCGAATTGGCACTGACCCTGGTCTATCCCCCTCATAGTCGTACTCGCGCGCTCGTAAAACACCGCCAGGCCTTGCGTGAACGCAAACCGGTACAAATCCTCGTCCAGAGCCGCCACGATAAGGTTATTCCCAAGCCCCAGCTTCCGTAAATTACACACGAAATTCATCAGCATTTCGGCGTAACCAAACGTAACCGCGACCAGCGTTACCACCTTGAGCTCCTTGGGCTTTCCAGCGCGGGCAGCGCCTGGCAAGGGGACGTCCGGGACGATCCTGGCCAGCTGCGGCAACAACTGCTCCATGGTGTGTGGGAGGCCAACGGTGGAGTTGGTGCGGGCTACGGCGTTGATTGCGAAATCGGCGCGGCGATCGATTGAGACGACGCCGCAAATCCAGAAGTCGCCCGAGTGGTGCTTGCGCGGGTCGGACTGGGTCTTGTACTCGTAAGCGGAGTACTCGCAGGAGCAGTTGGCCGGCCGCTCTCGCTTCAGCATGCAGATGTTTAATGCTGGAAACGGGTGGGGTGGGGGGTGGGAAGGAGAGAGTATAAGAGGAGAAGGGGGAGGGGGGGAACAGGGGAATGAGGAAACCCTTCAGCATGCAGATGTTCCAGCGCTGGGACGAGAGGGCGATGGAGAGGGGGAATGGAAGAGATGGGAACGGGAGTCATATTCGAAAACATGCACATGTTCGAAAGGGGGGGGATTACTTGCACGGTAGCATGCACAAGCACTAGAAAGGAAGCGGGGGAGGAGGAGAAGACGAGAAGGGAGTTAGAGGGAGGGCGAGGGGACCTGGACGGGAATGGAGAGAGTGGGGGGAGGGGGAGGGGGAGGGGGATGGGGATGGGGAAGGGGAGGGTGGGAGGCGTTCCTATAGAAGCACTTGCGAGTGACTCACAATCGGGTTCGTAGCAGGAGGAAAGGCGCCACGGCGTGTGCAGCGCCGTGCCCTTCTGATTCGTATACGTGCCGTGCGTCTCCGCCAGGTGAATATTCGCAAACAGCTCCCAGCTGCTCTTCTTCCGCGTGCTCCAAAAATGCCCGCCCGCCTTGCTCTCCTCCACGCGCACGTGCGAGTACGTGTGCGCCACGTGGATGCTCGTGATCGCGTCGCTCGCGTCCACCACCTGTCGCAGCCCGCTCGCGACGGCCTCGTGAACGAACCAGTTGTCGTACTTCCCGCGCCCGAACGAAAACGGCGGCATGTGCGCCGAGAAAAGCGGAACGTTGGGAACGTTGTTCCACACCCAGAGGTCTACCCCGCCGTACGTGTGCAAGCTCCCTTCCCGTCGCACGAACCGGCGGATCTCCACCTCGCGCTGCGCCTCCGCCATCATCCCAACCGGACCGGGTTTCCGCCGCCACGCGTCTTTCTCAAACGAGTACGGGAAATCCACCGCGACGTCCCATCGCGACGCGGTTAGGATCCACTCGCTAAAAAACGCCTGCACGCGCCCGATCGCGGGGACGATGTCGGATAGGAGAATAATATCCCCGTTGATCATCATCGACAGCGGCGTGTCCGCCGCCTGCGCGCGCGCGACCATCGCGTGGAACAGCGGCACGCCGTAGAAATTCGTGTCGATAGTCGAGTCGACGAATACGGACCCCGGGAATTCCTGCGCGAGGAGATCGAAGCTGGGATCGGATCCCAGCAGCACGACTTTAGGTTGCGGGCGGAGGCGCAGCCAGGAGAGCAGCGCGCGGCGCTGCGGGTCCTCCGGGGTGTTTAAGTACGGCTTCGGAGCGCAGAAGATGGTCATGGAGGGAATATCTCTCGCCCAATCAGGAAGCGGCATGTTCTGGTTGTGGACCATGTCGAGATCGTCCACGTCGACGAGATCGTCGGACGACGCGGCGCCGAGGATGCGCCGACGTGGCAGGCTCGGCGCGTCCGGCCAGTCGTCCATTCCGGGGAAGGCCTCCCCCGACGATGCACCGTCGCTGTGACCGGCGCCGGATCGTGCGGCGGAGGGGTCGGCTCCGCGAAGGGAGCGGTTATGCCTGTGGAAGGGAGGGAGGGTTGTTGGATACTTAAGGATGTCTGTAGTGGGAATGGCAGACCCCGAACTACGATGGCGATACCTAGAAAGATCGAGGACAAATGTGTACACAGGACGAGTAAATACCAAGAACGAACAACGATACCTTGGGAGTAGAGCGGCTAGAAGGAGTTAAGCAATACCTTGGGAGTGTCGACGGGAGCACGAAGGCATGCACGGTGAGGTAGATGGTGAGCGCGATGGCGAAGTTGGGGATGAACTCCGCCACTCGCTTGCCCACCCGCCCGTTCGCCCACTGCTGGAACGAATCCGCCGCGCATTGGTAACCCGAACTCGCCCGTTTCGCAGCACTGGAACCGCCGCTTCCAGAAACACTAGGGGGGGTTCCTGTGCTTCTGAGACCAGTTGCGGCACCTGCAGACAAGCTAGTGGCGACTCGAGTTGGAGAATAAAGTGGTTGGCTGAGCGGTCGTTTATTAGGAGAGATTAAAGCCTTCGACAGAGTCCCGGGCGAAAGTTCGACGTTGGTGGAGATTCGTGGCTGCGTGCGAACCCGCCTAAGTTCAAACTCGGGGAGGCAGCACGGGGAGACGTTAAGAGAAGACTGACGCGGGCTGGATGACGTGGCTTGTTCCAGAAATGACGTGGCTTGGGCTTGAACCAGCGTGCCAGGAATGGGCTGGGTTTCGTGGGTGGGCTCTTCGTTTCTTTGGTCGCCTGACAGGTTGTTGAGAGAATTTGACCGTGGAAGGGAGGGTTGTTGCGGTGGGGAGGAGCGCGCTAAGAGTTCAATGTCATCCATGGTTTCTCACGCCACTGAGCGACACGCGTGGTACCCCAACACAGCCCCTCTACTAAAGCTTAGGGATGGCGACGGGCGCTGAGTCAGCACTGGGAGGTAGGGAAATAGAGGAGCCGAGAGACAGGCGAAGCGAGATAGTGGGAGAAAATGAGAGCAGAGCGAACATAAGTGAGCGTTGAAGGGGAAGCGGAAGAAGTTAATTTGTAGTGAGAGCACTTGTTGTTGAATTCAAACGGTTGAGTACGATAATGTACAATCCGAAGTGGTTCTTATCGCGTAACCACTCTGAAACCTATATGTGAAATGTAAACGAAGTTATGGGACCGCCCTGAGGTGGAGTGATGATGGTATGGTTCGTTTGGCTAATCGCCAACACCAACCCAACTAAGACCAATCATAACGTACAGAACCACTTTAGTTCAGTGTCGTCAGTAGGCTTGACGTGATATCTGATCGAGTTACAGTACGTCACAACTCTCAATATGAATTACAATATAGGTTACAATATAGGTTTGGCAGTTTGTGAAATTCTCCACAACTACCCTTGTCAAGATCGGGACCTGGAGGTGTGATGGTGTGGCATCACAGGCGCTTCATAAAATCGCAGCCGTCGAAGTCGTTCGACGTCTTGTTCATTTGTTCGGAGCTGGCTCACACACACACACACCTTCGCCTTGGCCTCCTGCCCTATCACCTTCGCCATTTGGCAGATGTACAGGACAGTGAACTGTTGTTTACATCCAGCTTCCCGTACAGCATTGACCAAACAATTGCAGCATGCATTTCATCAGTCCATCAATCGGAAGGAACAGTGCACGCTTCTCTCCAACACACAAGCGCAGCGTGTTCTTGTCAGCCGACATTGTAATTGGGTAGGGGAGGTCAAGGATGCGCAAGCTGCCCTTGATGTTCTTGATACAAGGTCACGCGCTTACTCAAAATACGGCATTATTGGTACTCGTTATTGAGACTCTCATATTAATGTACTTCAAGTTCTGGTTAACCAAATTCGTGCGTTCCCTGTGCGTCAGCATTCTATGCACATGCAAGCTCCTGCTTTTATCGATAATAAAACTGACCGACCTGAGCGGACACTCGCGCTGGTTGTGATTGGACGTGGTGTGTGTGTGTGTGTGGTGGTGGTAAAGTCGGTTCTGCTGACTACAGTGCTGTTCCGTCTTGTGCTAAGTGCGGGAGCTGACATATTCCCCCTCGCAATAACCAGCACTTCGATACACTAAAATGCAGGGTCCATCGTCCGCTTTTATTTCTATGCTGTGGGGCGAGGACTTTTACGAGTTGGGTGAGTGCAGAAGCCAAGCAGCGCAAACGACTCTGTAACGTTGTTGCTTGTACCCGTCCCATCCTAACAGAACCCGCTCTTTCCGAGCGCTTCGGTTCTGCGAGCAACATGCGCGCTTCGCATCGACCCTCTGCATCATTTGGTCAGCCCCAACCAGCGAGAAATTTGCCCCAGGCACGGGTTTGAAGATTGCTTGTTGCGCACGTGGCCTTCATTTGCCCCCGTAGTTCTACATTCATGCGATAATTGCAGGAGTGCTTTTGTCAGGGCATTCCTACAAACTTTGTTTTATCAGGCACATTAGCCGATAAGGGCGTTTAACCCCCCAAAGTTGATGTTCGCACTTGTCTCATCCCGCCGTTGCGTAGGGTATTATTCCCCACCCGAGCATATACTATGCGCGCTCATAAAGGTTTATGCTCGATCGTCTAAATGTCGTTTAGCGCTGAATGCGGGCAAAAAAACTAAAACCCATTGCGAATGGCATGCCATTCGGGAGGCATCAATCCTTTTTTTTTTTGGGTTGATGCCTCCCGATTGCATGCCTTCCGAGCGGGTTTTAGTTTTTTTTTTCCCGCGTTCAGAATGCTGACTCATTCGACGGGATGAGACATGTGCGAACAGAAACTTTGGTTGATAAATAGCCTTAGCGGGTATTGTGCCGGGTAAAAAAAAGGCTGCGGGAATCCCCTGGCAAGACCACTTGAGCAATTATCGGTAAAATGTAGAACCACGCGAGCGAACGGAGACCACGTCTGCAACACGAAATCTTCAAACACGGGTTTGGAGAAAATCTCTCCTCAACCAGCCCACCACCGTTTGCTCTTGTCCTCCTCTCTGAACCATTTCCCCGCCTCCCTTACCCCAACCCCCTCCACTTCTTTCCCAACCCATCCTTTCTGTCCCGCACTTTCCTCCACAGCTCAGGCCCAGCACTCATTCAGCTCCAAAAAGATAGTCACTGCCTTTAAGACCATACCTCAATTCGCATTTTGTTTCGTCCAGGTTGGCGAGTAACATGTCGCCACGTGTCCCCAGACTGCTCGCTGTACTGAGCATAGCCATAGCCGCCACGTGTGCAGCTGGGCAAACGATCGACTCTTCACAACGTACGGACAGGCATCAGATAATGAGACAGAGTTTTTGTTGTTACTGTTCAGGAGGCAAAAGTTGAATACCGCGTCTCAGTCCTAACATGACCATCAAGCTCTATTATTCCGCAGTATCGACTGGTGGCCTCAATTCAAGGCCACCTCGCTGTCGGCCCAAGTGGCCTCAATTCAGTGACCGTTCACTCCGTGCCACTTTTTAAGCGCTCCTTGCGCCCATGGCTTTTGAGTGGACGCAATAGTTACCACTTTTTCCGCGTTTTCTGTGCGCTATCACTCCCCCTCTTCCGCCAGTTCCCGCGTTGGCGGACCTGCAAGCGGCTTTTGGGCTCAATTACTCGTCGTGGGGTGAAGGCGGAGATTGCTACAAGGCGAGCTTTCTGCGATGCGACAGCGACGGCATGATTACAGAAATGTGAGCCTGCTTGAAACGAGGTATCGAAAATCAACCGAGTTGAACCACCGTCGCTCTCCGCTCGGATCCCTCTTGATTGCAAAACCAATCGTACTCCGCCTCTCCACCGTCGGCTCTCCGCTTGGATCCGTCTTGCGTGACCCCTCGTGAACAAGAGGGGGCACGCCATGGATTGCAAAAACATTCGTACTCCGCCTCTCACCCCATCCAAACAGTTGATAATTGAAACGCATTTATAATCAGTATTTTGGTTTCAACCTTCCAGTTTTTCCTCATCGATGCTGTATCGAATTTGATCATAGAGTTTTTTTTAGACGTCTCAGAAACTCTCTAATATCATTTGGTTTCAACGTCCCAGTTTCTCCTCATCGATGCTGTCTCGATTTTCCTCCTCTCGCAGCAATCTGGGCGCGAGCGGCCTTCTCGGATCTCTGCCTGAGACCATCAGCGGACTAGTGAATCTCACCAGCATGTGAGTGGGCCGCGGATTTGATTTCTACGAATGTGAATATTCTCAATGTGACAGTGAGTCTGATTTCGGATCTATTCAAGTCACCTTCTCGGCTCTCTGCCTGAGTCAATCAGCGGACCAGTGAGCCTCACCAGCATGTGAGTGTACCAATGTGCTTATGCCATATGAATTTAGCGTGTGATGTGAGTCTGGGCGTATGACTTTCATCTACAAGCTTCGCTTCACAATTCGCGTTGCTCTTGTGCTTTCCTTATTCGATTGAGCCAATACGTGAACCCAGTCGGACTTCCCCCAATTCCACCCTCCCGCGATAAAAGGGAGTTTTTGAGACGTCTCAAAAACTCCCTTTTATCACGTGGCTCTTGTGATTTCCTAATTCGAGTGGACCTCATAGGTGAACCCAGTCGGACTTCCCCTTTTTCCACCCTCCCCCTGCCATCCTTTTTCTTCCTCCCCTCCCCGCCCCACCTCCCCCCCACTTCCCCCCTCCCTCTCCCCACTACCTTTGTCGGCGGATCAGTGATCTGAGCGCCAACGGGCTGACAGGGCCGATTCCCTCCACTATAGGCGCACTTGCTAAGCTGAAACGGATGTGAGTGATCCTTCCACAGAAAACGCATTCGCTATAAATGCCTCCAATCTCTAAGCTGCACGGCATATGATGCGAGGGATCTTTCAGCTTCAGTCTCGCTCCTGTACAAGCATATTCGTTATAAGAATCCTCTGGCATCCCCCGCCGCATATCCCCCACCATGTCCCCCCACATCCCCCTGGCAGGCAGCTGGACAAGAACACGTTCGAGGGCAACCTCCCTGTACCGCTGCGCGAACCCCCTTGCGTTCCATCTTTTCCCACTCATCTCATCTCATCCCATCTCATCTCATCTCATCTCATCTCATCCCATCTCATCTCATCTCATCTCATCTCATCTCATCTCATCTCATCCCATCTCATCTCATCTCATCTCATCTCATCCCATCTCATCTCATCTCATCTCATCTCATCTCATCCCATCTCATCTCATCTCATCTCATCTCATCTCATCTCATCCCCTCATCCCTGTCCGCCCACACCAACCCCCCCCTGGCAGGCAGCTGGACAAGAACACGTTCGAAGGCAACCTCCCTCTGTCCCTGGGCAGGCTAACAAATCTTACGTCCCTGTAAGCGCAATCCGGGGTGTGTCAAAACCACAAGCAAATCTAGCTCTGAATTTTCCTCCGCTTGCGAGTTGCTCAGGTAGAAGCTGAAAATTGATTCGACTGGTGCAGTTGCTGCATGCATGGCATGGCGCGATGTCCCCGATCGCCTGCGGCTCTCTTCCTTCCCTCCCTGTGCCTTCTCTCCCCAACCCCAGCCCTCGTTGTTCCCTTAACCTCCAACCCTATCCTCTGCTTCCTCCTGTTGGCTCTCCATACTGCACTGCAGGGACCTTGCAGCCAGTAATTTCATTGGATCCATACCTGCTGAGCTAGGGAACCTCACAGGCACCTCAAATTCCTATATTTCTCCCCTGCTCCTCCCCCTCCCTCCTCCCCTCCTATCCCCTCCCTCTTCCCCTTCTATCCCCTCCCTTCTGTTCCGTGTTTCTCTAGGGACCTGGCAGCCAATCACTTTACAGGATCTATACCAGCTGAACTGGGCAACCTCGTCAACCTGCAGTACCTGTAATGCACCGCACCTCTCCCCTCTCCACCGCTCTCCACCCCTCTCCACCACACCCAACGTCCACCTAGTGTCTTCTCCATCTCATCTGAATCCTCCTTCGAAGCAAGTTTGACGTTTATAAGAACCAAACTTCATGTTGTTTTAACTATACCATACCATCATCACCCATCCCACACTACCATCACCCATCCCACACTACCATCACCCATCCCACACTATCATCACCCATCCCACACTACCATCACCCATCCCACACTATCATCACCCATCCCACACTATCATCACCCATCCCACACTACCATCACCCATCCCGCACTACCATCACCCATACCAGTTCTATATCACCCGCATCATCATCACCAGGCAGCTGAACAACAACTATCTCACAGGTTCCGTTCCAGCCTCTTTCTCCCAGCTGCTTTTGTGCCTCCCGCTTTCACCTATCGTTTTCCACCACCTCGCACCTCCCACCTTCCTTGAATCCCTGCCCCACCCCATCCCCACCCACAGGCAGCTGAACGACAGCTATCTCACGGGTTCCATTCCTGCCTCTTTCTCCCAGCTTCTTCCTTTGCCCCTCGCTTTTGAGTCGACTCAACAGTTCCAACTTCCACCTCCCTGCATGTCCCACCTTCCTTGACTCTTCGCCCCCCACCACCCTTCCCACAGGCAGCTGAACGACAACTATTTCGCAGGTTCCATTCCGGCCTCTTTCTCCCAGCTCGACCAGCTGCAACGGCTGTGAGTACACGAGGGGTGTGAGTGCAAGAGGGGTGTGAGGTGAGTGCAAGAGGGCTATGTAATATCTCCCTTTCTTTCCCTACCGTTCCCCCGAACTTGCGACTTATGCTGTGAGGATCCCCCCTATTACTCTCCCCTCCTTTCCTTTTGAGAATTTTCAGAAGCGATTTTTGAACTTGGGACTAGTGCTGACGAAGATCCCCCCTTCTACTCTCCCTTCATTTTCTTCCTCACTCCCTCTTCCCTCCCCTCCTCCACTCTCCTTTTCCGCCCTCCCATCCCCCCAGGCAATTGGGCAACAACCAGGCTGACTTTTGAGTCGACTCAAAAGTCGACTCAAAAGTCCCATCCCCCCAGGCAATTGGGCAACAATCAGCTCTCGGGTCAGCTGCCTGCTGGATTCGGGTGGGGAATCCGGGCATACACCCACATGCTGAACTCGGTGCACCAAACTTGCTGGCTCCTCCTCCCTCCCCTCCCCTCCCCCCCAGGCAATTGGGCAGCAACCAGCTCTCAGGGCAGCTACCTGCTGGTTTCGTCGCCTTCCCCGGCCTGACAGGCCTGTGAGTGACTCCACCATGCCATGGTGACCTCTGATCATGCCACGCCATGCCACGCCTTTTGAGGCGCCTCAAAAGCCTTCCCCGGCCTGACAGGCCTGTGAGTGACTCCACCATGCCATGCTGACCTCTGATCATGCCACGCCATGCCACGCCGCGCCACGCCATGCCACGCCATGCCATCACCCTCTACCCGCCCTTATTCCTAGCCATTCTTCCCCGTTTCACTCTTTCCCATTTCCCCCAGTTGGGTGGACATACAACACACATGCCCTCCGGACAGCACTGGCTGTGGGCAGACCCGTCCCTTCCGCAACAACACCTTCTGCCTGCAGACCTGAAACTCTCCCTCTGACCTCCCTTCTTCCTTGTCATCCTCTCCATCTCCCCCAGCTGGGTGGACATACAGCACACATGCCCCCCCGACAGCACCGGCTGTGGTCAGACCCGCCCCTTCCGCAACAACACCTTCTGCCTACAGACCTGCCCTTCTTTCTGCGACACCTGCATTCCGAGGAAGCTTCCCACCCCTCCCCCCAACACCACCACCACCATTGGCACCAGTTTTGGTACCCGTGTGAACGCCACGGGTGCTCCTGTTGCTCTGCCTCCTCCTTCCTCTCTGGCAGTAGCGTCTACACCTAAGGGTGCATCGGGTGATGCTATCAGATGCAGTAGCAGCTTGGTGCTCGGGGTTGCTCTTGCCCTACTGGCGCTGCTGTGAACGGGACTGGCGCTCTTGTTGCTTTGCCCCCGCCGGTCTCCCCTGCGGTTCCTTCGCCAACCAAGGGGGCATTGAGCGACAGTATTAGCAGCAGCAGCATAATGCTCAGGGTTGCTCTTGCCCTACTGCTGCTGCTGTGAACGTGACTGGTGCCCCTGTTGCTCGGCCTCCTCCCGCCTCTCCCGCCGTTTCATCCTGCTGAAGGGGAAATGAGTGACAGATATGTTCACAGCAGCAACTGGGTGCTCAGATCAGATGTGGTGTTGTGCATGCTGTTCCAGTCATGGCACTAGGATCTCATGCTAAGCGGTTTTCAACAAGCAAGTGATACATGCATGGATCAGTTTAGACCGGCACCTCGTAGTGCTGCATCCACCGCCTCATCCTGCCGTTTGGGACGCCTGTGTTTTTAGAATTCAGGTGACGAATGTTTTTAAAACAAGCAAGGCACAACGTCTAATAGCAGCATCGACACTACAGGCTCTCCAGTATACCAACGCAGCAGAGCAAGCTGCACAGCAAACCCTCTCCTAGAGCAGCAAAAGGCAAGGTAAAAGTCCAGAAGGCTACCCACCCAGCCACATCAAATCCACTGCCATTCACACCGGCATTTGTGTCCCATATTTTCACCACCTCTCGGCAGCAGCTTGGCCAGACTGCCGGCTTTCTAAGGCAGCTGACACATTCTGTAAAAATTGTTCAAGTCTCAAAATATTGCCTGTTTCACAAGCATGTCTGTCGCATGGAGTGTTTCTTACTTGAGCAGCTTCAGCAGCTAACCAGGCGACTAAGAGAACAGGCAGTGAGTGTCTATCAGTCCAGCAGTTTAGCCACCACACCAGCACCCACAGTGCGACCACCCTCCCTCAGGGCAAAGCGCTGGCCTGCAGGGGGGAGGGCAGGGGGAGAGGAGAGAGAGAAGAGGTGTGAGTGTGCGCTTGCATGTGCGCATGTGTGCATGTGCGCATGTGTGCATGTGTGCATGTGCGCATGTGTGCATGTGTGCATGTGTGCATGTGTGCATGTGTGCATGTGTGCATGTGTGCATGTGTGCATGTGTGCATGTGTGCATGTGTGCATGTGTGCATGTGTGCATGTCTGCTATCGCAGACATGGCTTTCAAGTCGACTCAATGACTGCACAGTTCTGCCACCACACCAGCACCCACAGTGCCACCGCCCTCCTCTTCAGAGCAAAGCGCTGGCCTGCAGGGGGGAGGGAATTGGAGGAGCAGCTCAAAGGTGGCGGTGACATTGTCTCCCGGCATGACCATCTTGACTTCATCTGGCAGCACCACCTTGCCGGTCACATCAGCCGTGCGCAGGTAGCACTGCGGGCGACGACCAAAGATGCTCCCATCCGAACCACAAGACAGGGACAGAGAGACAGAGAGACAGAGAGACAAGGAGGCAAGGAGGCAGAAGGAGACTGAAGGGACAGAAAAGACCCACCTGCTTCGATAGCCACAGGAGACAGCAGCTCAAACGTTGCCGTGACGTTATCCCCTGGCATGACCATCTTGACTTCATCGGGCAGCACCACCTTCCCTGTCACATCGGCGGTGCGCAGGTAGCACTGCGGGCGGTAGTTGGAGAAGAAGGCAGTGTGGCGTCCGCCCTCCTCCTTGGTGAGCACGTAGATCTCCGCCTGAAACTTCTGCGACGTTTTGATGGATCCGGGCTTGCAGGCTACTTGGCCCCTCTGCACATCTTCGCGCTTCAACCCTCTCATCAGCAGCCCCACGTTGTCTCCTGCCTGTGGTGGTGCCACACCAGAAAGAAGAGGGAAAAGTGGAGGGTGAAGGGTGGAAGGGCGGAAGGGCGGAAGGGAGGAAGGGCGGAAGGACAGTGCAGGATTGGAGAAGCCCACAGGGCTGTGTGCTGTCCGCCCTCCTCCTTGGTGAGCACGTAGATCTCCGACTGAAACTTCTGAGACGTTTTGATTGAGCCGGCTTGCATGCCACCTGGCCCCTTTGGATGTCCTCTCGTTTCAGCCCTCGCATCAGCAGCCCCACGTTGTCTCCTGCCTGCAATGCAGCAGAGGGAAGGCAGGACGGGTGGAAAGGGGTGCTTTTTGAGGCGCCGCCTCAAAAATCGCACACAAGGATGGAAGGTTCAAGGGGTGGAAGTGCGCACCTGGTTTTGAGACGTCTCAAAACTGGAAGTGCACACCTGTCCAAGAACCTGCCCACCACCCACCTGCCCACCACCCACCTGCCCACCCCCCACCTGCCCCTGTTCCAGAATAATCTTGAACATTTTTACACCCATCACCGTTGTCATTCTGACCCACGCACGCACCTGTGCCCAACCTACCCACACACAACTCACGTGCCCCAGTACCCACCCACCTGACCCATCAGGCACGGCACCACCTGCCCCTGGTCGAGGATCTTCTTCAACATCTCCACACCCGTCACAGTCGCCATTCCAACCCACGCGCACGCACCCCCCTCCACCCCCTTTCAACCCCCCTCACCCCTCTTCACCGCCCCCCACCCACCTGCCCCTGGTCGAGGATCTTTTTGAACATCTCCACACCCGTCACTATCGTCTTGGTGGGATTGCCCGCCTGTAGGCGAAGAGATGGTGGTGGGGAGCAAGGAATTCGGGGGAGGAGGAGGCAGGGGGATGGGGGAGAACGATGCAGGGGAGGAGAGAGGGTGGGGGGGAGGGATGAGGGGTGGGGGCATGTCGGGAGGTTCACAATGGGCCTACAAGCACAGTGCATCATCGAAGTGAGCAGTCTACCAATGCAATGGACAATTCGAATTCGCGCACAAAACACGTCGGGACAAACGGCCAGCTTGGAAAAAATAATACTGTGAGCGGCAAGAATCGATCAGACAAATCGTCACAGTGGCAAAACCCCATCTATTTAAGAAACGACAAGAACGAACACAAACACCAACTCGCAACACTCCAACTTTCCTCTCACTCGTCCCTCGGCTCCCTAAACCACCCCCCAACCTCCCTTCCGCCTTTCTCTATTTTTGCTCCTCCCCGCCCGCCCCCACTCCCCCCCCCTTCGTATCACTCCCAGCACCCCCATAAGCACCTTCATGCCCACGATCTCGATTTCATCGCCCACTTTGATAATCCCCTGCTCCACCTTTCTCCTTTCCCCCCTCTCCCCCTCGCATCCCTCTTCCCCCCTCCTCCCCCCATCCCCTCTTTATCGCACCTTCATGCCCACGATCTCGATTTCATCGCCCACTTTGATAATCCCCTGCTCCACGCGCCTTTCAAGATCCCTCAAATGCCCTCTTACCATAAACACCCCCTCTCCCCCCACCTTCTTACCCCCTGCCTTCCCCCCTCCTCCCCCCATCCCCTCTTTATCGCACCTTCATGCCCACGATCTCAATTTCATCGCCCACTTTAATGATCCCCTGCTCCACCCGCCCCGTCACCACTGTGCCTCGGCCCTGCACGGGGGGGAGGATGGAGAGGCAGGAAGGAGTGGAGGATGGAGGGGGGACGTAAAAATACTTTAAAGTTGACTCAAATTGTCCCCTGCTCCACGCGCCCTGTCACCACCGTGCCTCGGCCCTGGAGGGGAAGAATAGAAGGACGAAACAGAGGGGAGAAAAGGGGAGGGGGTTAGACGTGGAAGGAAGGGGCAGGGTGGGGGATGTGGGGAGGGGAGGAGCGGGGATGTGGAGGAAAACGCATTGATGTGAATGGGGATTGTTACAATTGCTATTGGCTCGAAGACGTACTCATCCGCGGAATAAACACGTGATAAGAGTGGACTTTTTGAGACGTCTCAAAAAGACATACTCAACCATGGGATAAAAGTCATTTTTTGAGACGTCTCAAACAAAAAAAAAACCTTTTTCATAAGCAGGGATGGTTACGGTTGCTCCAGGCTCCGAGATGTTCTCATCCATGGCTGCTGTGAGTGAGCCTCACCACGGTTTTTGAGTCGACTCAAAAGTCAGCTTGAGATGTACTCATCCATCCATGGCTGCTATAAATGAGCCTCAGCATGGCCTGCTTGCCGTGCCGCACTCACCATGCATGAGCTTGAGAGAGGTGGGTGGGATGGCTTGGATGGGACCCACCTGAATGGAGAACAAATCTTCAATGGGCATCAGGAAGGGCTTGTCAGCTGTCCAACAAATCTTCAATCGGGCAGCTGTGTCTTCAACCAGTCACAGGACCGCTGTGGAGCCGGAATGTATTCGTCCACGGCTGCCGTGAGCCTCAGCACCGCCTGCTTGCTTGCCGATCTCCTCATTCGTTTCCTGCAGTGATCCCCTGCCCCCACCTGTGCTTCCAGCACGCTGAACAACCCACCTGGATGGAGAAAACACGTCTTCAATGGGCACAAGGAAGGGCTTATCCAGCGACCGCTGCGGCTCTGGAACGTATCCGTCCACTGCTGCCATGAACTTCAGCATCGCCTTTTTGTGGTGTGAGAGTCACTCATTCCACTCACAATCACACACACACCTGGATGGAGAACACGTCTTCAATGGTCATCAGGAAGGGCTTGTCAAGCGACCTCTGTGGCTCCAGGATATACTCGTCCACCGCTTCCATGAGCTTCAGCACCGCCTTCTTGCCGATCTCCTCATTGGTGCCCTGCAGTGCTGCCCTGCGCTCACCTGTGCTCCCAGCACGGCCTGCTTGCAGAGCACTCACTTGAGCAACCCACCTGGATGGAGAACACGTCTTCAATGGGCATGAGGAAGGGCTTATCCAGTGATCGCTGCGGCTCTGGAATGTACTCGTCAACCGCTTCCATGAGCTTCAGCACCGCCTTCTTGCCGATCTCCTCATTAGTGCCCTGCAGTGCTGCCAGTGCCGACCCTCGCACAATTGGGATGTCGTCCCCCGGGAACTTGTAAAAGGAGAGCAGCTCTGGGGGGGGGGGGGAGAAGAAGAGGGGAGAGGGTGTCCATGAGCTTCAGCACCGCCTTCTTGCCGATCCCCTCATTGGTGCCCTGCAGGGCTGTCAGCGCTGACCCGCGCACAAAGGGGATGTCGTCCCCTGGGAACTTGTAGAAGGAGAGCAGCTCTGGAGGGAAGGGAGGGAAGGGGAAGAGCAGAGGGGGGAGGGACGGGGGGAGAGGGACGGGGGGAGAGGGACGGGGGGAGAGGGATGGAGGGAGAGAGGGAACTTGATGAGGAAGGGGCTTTGTGTGCCTGCTTGGCACGGGACATCCACCCTCTCTCACTCCACACAATACCCCCTCTCTCACCCACTTTATCACTCACTCCCTCCCTCACTCCCTCACTCCCTCCCTCACTCCCTCCCTCACTCCCACCTGCACTCACTCACTCACCCCTGAGCTCCATTTCGACCAGCTCCAGCAGCTCCTCATCATCCACCATGTCCACCTTGTTCAGGAAACACACCAGCGATGGCACTCCCACCTGGGTATAGAGAGGCATGGTGGGAACGAGACAAAAAAAGGGGAACGGGAGTCACGTGCATATGAGATGTGTGCACAGGGCGTAGGTGGGGGAGCACAGCACGTGCTGCCTTTCTGCTCTCAAATAGATTTGATTCGAGCACACATCTCTCACGTGTGAGCCCAGCGGAATAGGCTTCCTGTCCTGTTCTGTTCCCTCTTTGTAATAAAGCACGCCTCTCGCCTGTCTGGCCAACCAACAGCATGTGTTAGCACGTCTGAGTCAATCGGGAGAAGAGACGACCAATATCCCTCCGTCCGTCCATCTGAGCACACGTAGTCCGTTCCGTGTGGCCAATAGAGCCCCAAACAGGAGCCATGACCTTGCGTAGCAGCAGCTTTTAGCAAACAGATTTTAGTTTGCTTTGCCTCCTATTTGGGGCTCTATTGGACACGTAGTCCGTGTGGGCGGGGGGGGTGTGGTGGGCAGGTGGGTGCCGGTAGAGGAAGGGGAAGAGGCGGAGGGAAAGGAAAGGGTGCAGTCTACCACGTCTCTCACTCGCGTCTCTCACTCACCTGTCTGGCGAGCAGGATGTGTTCGCGCGTCTGTGGCATGGGGCCATCAGGGGCCGACACCACGAGAATCCCACCGTCCATCTGAGCAGCGCCTGTGATCATGTTCTTCACATAGTCCGCGTGGCCTGGGCAGTCCACGTGTGCATAGTGGCGCTTCTCCGTCTCATACTCCACGTGGGCCTGAAAGAGAGGAGTGTGGGGATCAACAAAAGTCAACAGGGAGTCAACGAGGGGTGACCAGGAGTCAACAGACGTGGGGCAGTCCACGTGTGCATGGTGACGCTTCTCCGTCTCATACTCCACATGCGCCTGAGAGAGGGGTCAACGGGGGTCAACGGGGGTCAACTCATCGAACGCCACGTGCCTTCTTCTCAGGCGCCTTGTCAATCTCATCGAACGCAATCGCCTTCAAGACGTCTCAACTCAACCTGCACTCCACATTTGCACTCACAGCAGCAGCAGCAATGATGCACTCACAGTGGCGATGGTGATGCCACGGGCCTTCTCCTCAGGCGCCTTGTCAATCTCATCGAACGCAATCGCCTTCAAGACGTCTCAACTCAACCTGCTCTCCACATTTGCACTCACAGCAGCAGCAGCAATGATGCACTCACAGTGGCGATGGTGATGCCACGGGCCTTCTCCTCAGGCGCCTTGTCAATCTCATCGAACGCGATTGCCTTGGCCTTGCCTTCGTCTGCCAGTACCTGCGCGGACAGAAAGAGGGGAAAGAGGGGGGCGGGACACGGGAGGGGGGCGGGACACGGGAGGGGGGAAGGAGAAGGTACAAGTTTTGAAGCGCCATTACGGGCTGACTTTTTAGATCGATCTCATCGAACGCGATTGCCTTGGCCTTGCCCTCGTCTGCCAGCACCTGCGTGCGAGCAATGAGAGGAGGGCGGAGAAGAAGGGTGTGGGGCGGAAGAGGAAAAAAAACGAGTTTAACGGACCCTCGTTTGCCATGTCAAGTGCGGAAAGGAACGTGGGTGGAGGCGGGGGAGAAGAGGGTAAGGGGAAAAGAGGATGAAAGAAAAGGAGGAAGGAAGCATCATGAAAGCATCAGCTTGGTTTTATGGGCAGCCAACAAACGTGTGTGTGTGTCGTATCGTATCGTACTATAATGCGTCGTACCTTGGTGATGGCGGCAGTGAGGGTGGTCTTGCCGTGATCCACATGGCCGATGGTGCCGATGTTCAGATGCGGCTTGCTACACAGCACACGGGGAGATACGCACGCACGCACGCAGGGACGCACGCGGGGAGGCATGCAGGAAAAGGGACAAAGATGGGAGTCGCAAAATTAAGGGACACGGATGCACGGAGGTAGACGAGTAGATCCTTGCAGTTTTGAGTTGTAAGACGTCTCAAAACAACGGCAGGCGAAATCAAGCTTGTGAGAAAAGGCGATACGAACCACGCGAGTCGGTACAAAGACTTGGCTTAGTCGTGAGCCTCACGGTCTTGACGCACGGCGGAAGCTGCGTGGAAGCTGCGTGGAAGCTGTGTGAAAGCTGCTACTCACGATCGGGAGAAGGTTGCGTATCCACGCCTGCACTGCGCCGCGATCGCCGCCGCGTCTCCCGCCGGAACAGACGGAACAATGCCGCGAAACGACGTCGACCACGCAGCGGCGCAAGTCACGGAGCTTCTGAAAGGAGACACCGCGCCGCTTAGCACCGCGTCCACATCACGACCTCCCGCAAACCCCGCGAGATCGCACGTGCTGACGTGGCGGCTGGCTAGCGCGGCGGCGCCATTTGGTGACGTGGCCGGCGCGGTTGCGCCAGCTTGCGATCCGGATTCGACGGATCGGAAGAGCGCGCCGAGCGCGCTTCCTGTCGCTCGGTTCCGCGACAGAATACGGTGGACGGATGTGACGGCCATCGTTATTGGCACCAGATCTGAGATCCTTCGGTGTAAGAACGTGAAAAAACGGTACTAATGCGAAAGATAGTCTCCTCCCTAAACGATCTTTCTAAACCTTCCTGAAGCGTCGAGTTGTAATGCAGCGTACTAGCGTCGCTTAGGTGATACGGTTCAAGACTTAGCAGCGCAGCGAAGGGAAAGTGGGAGGGACAATAGCTAAGCAAAACGCTAAGCGGCTGATCCCACACCAGAAACAGCCGACTGCGACTCGAGCGCTACGCCGCGCGTTGCGCGATGAGACGAATCGTAACGGCTGATAAAGGAGTGAGACTCGAGATTCCAGTTACAGCTCGGCCTAAGTCCCTGGAATATGCTGTTGCTGCTGCGATACCCTATTCCTGTCAGCCATGTTAGCGAAGCCAACATCGAGGTTTTCGCTGTGGCTGATTTGTTACCGTACATGAACATGCAGTGGGCAGGTATCTAATGAAACATGCGGAACGAGGCTATTTGTAAATGGGTGTAAGGAAACAGCTTTTCATTACTTCGAGTCACACAGCACACCGCATAACGACTGTTCCCGCCACTGTACACCCAACAATAGCCCAGTACCACTTCGCGACACTCGCCTCGGTACTGTTCCCGCTAACACAACCATCGCGCCCAAACCACCCGGCACGGCTAGTAACTTGTGACCCGGCCCTACACTTCGAAATTTCCCAACCTCGACATCACGCCCGTAGGGCACCCTTTCGCGAGCGCGTTTCCATTGCCGAAATGCCTTGGCTATTTAAAGCCAGGATCTCAAGTAGTTCAATTGTTTTGCAGTTGGTGAGGGGAGCTGGGCTGCGATTGGTTAGCGAGGTGAACAATCTGACGAGGTGTGAAGCGAGGGGTGCGAAGTAAAGACAAATCGCAAGTTCAGTCCGAACCAAGCAAGGCTCGGAAACTGGTTCGGTGACGAAGCTCCAATGCCTGCAATTTCTCGTCACACACAACAATCTCATGTACCAGCAAAATGTTTTGCATTTGCTCTAGGGGCAAAATCGTGGGTGTGCCGCACGCTCACTTTCCTAACCAGCCAGTCAATTCGCCTACAAAAATAGGGTAACAAGCGCTGCAAGTGTTTTGCAATTGAAGGCCAATTCTCTTACTTGAGATCCTGGCTTTAAACATTTGCTCATGCATTCGCTCATTGTATTGTTTGCTTCAATAGTGCTATCTTCATTTGTACTCGTAACAATGGATAACACTTTCTACAAGTTCCTAATTGTGGTTCCATAAAGGCGAAACGAGTGAGTGTACTCCCATAATTGCTGCATGAACTCTGCAGATGGTTGTTGGTCTTCTTTCTCCGCCAACTGCAAGCGAAGACCACACACGATAATTTAGAAGGTGACAAGAGAAAGCGGAAAACTTCAAATAAATATAAATTGTCTCACCTTAACCCTATCCTCCTCTTTCAGCTCGCCCATGTAAAAATGCTGCAAGAGTGCACCAGAAAATGTGTGAGAACACTAGGGAGAAACTTACTGAACCATACTAGCGTTGAGTTCCCACTTCACAAGAGTATAGAGAAAGGAAGTGCCACAATAGCTGCGAATGACATACGATGATGACATCCTTGACTCACCCTCAGGTAAAGGAACGACTCTCTTGACGAATGGTACAGCTCAAAGAAGACAGTGCAGTCCCGATTGAGCCCCTGCAATGTTTACCCAACGCAAAGGCCAAAGCGCATGTTTGTGAAGGTTACAAAGCATTTCAAAACTGTAGTTTACACTTGAGTGAGAATGATAAGTTGTGCGTGCTTTAATTCTTCAAAATCGACACGATAATCCGCAAAGGGTAAGTCTCACCTGATTTGGAATGATTGTATCCCCTCCTGGGTGCTCTGGTAACCATCTCGTTACATCCAGCACCATGCCATCCAGAAGCAGCCAACAGTTGCCGCCCACATTGCGCTCCACCACCTCAGCAAAGGTGTACTCACTGGGATGGCAGGCAGGTGGATGGATGGATGGGGGTGCACAGATGAGGGTGCACAGATGAGGGTGCACACATGTTCATTGAAGTCAAGGAAACACACAGAGCCGGGCGGAAGCCCTATGTAACTGCCCGGCTCTGCGTGTTTCCTTGAATTCACCAGGCAGAGCATGGCGGAAGCCCTATACCATGAAACCCTATACCATGAAACCCTAGGCTCTGAAACCCTTCCTCACCGGATGCGCGATTCAAAGAGCCCCTGCCGCTGGTTGCAGAGGTCTGCCAGGCTTTTAAGCCCCAAAGCTGCCGCTGCTGCCCTCAGGTCTTGAATGGGATTGATGCCAAACTGCACCTGCCTGCCTGCCTGCCTGCCTGCCTGCCTGCCTGCCTGCCTGCCTGCCTGCCTGCCTGCCTGCCTGCCTGCGTGCGTGCCTGCCTGCCTGCCTGCGTGCCTGCCTGCGTGCCTGCCTGCCTGCCTGCCTGCCTGCGTGCCTGCCTGCCTGCCCCCTGGAAGCTCTGAAATCAGCAGCTCTATAAACATTGAAACCCTTCCTCACTGGATGTGCGATTCAAAGAGCCCCTGCCGCTGGTCACAGAGGTCTGCAAGGCTCTTGAGCCCCAACGCACTCGCTGCTTCCCTCAGGTCTTGAATGAGATTAATGTCAAACTGGAAGCCCCCTGCCTGCCCCTTGAAAACCTCAACAGTGAACTAGGACCAGAAGCTTTATACCATGAACCCTTCCTCACCGGATGCGCGATTCAAAGAGCCCCTGCCGTTGGTCGCAGAGATCTTGGAGACTTTTCAGCCCCAAGGCACTTGCTGCTTCCCTCAGGTCTTGAATGAGATTGATGTCAAACTGAAAGTCTCCCCCTTGCCCCTTGAAATCTTCCTCGAGGAACAGCAGCACTCGGTCCAGCAGCAGACAGTCGATTGCTAGTTGCACTGTTGGGGGTTCTGAGCCAGTGTCTTGCACTGCCTGGGGTGACAGAAGCGGTTGAAACGGGGTAAGAAGTGGGAGTATCAGGAGTGGAGTGGAGGGAACGGAACAGCAGCACTCGGTCCAGCAGCAGACAGTCGATGGGCGGTGGATACACGCAAGGTGAGGAGAACCGGCCAGAAGAGGTCACAACAATCATCTATCCTCCTGACCTTGTAGCTTACCAGGTTCGCAGACATACAGCATACTTTAGTGGGTGGCGTGGCATCGGCGGGGATTTTTGAGACGTGTCAAGTCAAGAGACATGCAGCGTACTTTGGTGAGAGCAAGGCATGGTCGTAGTAAGGGCTTCTTGACGGGAAAGAGCTCATCATCTGATGACAGAAGCTGTGGGAGGAGGGGAAAGGGCGGTGAGTTTGGGAAGAAGGGAAGATGAAAGGGAAAGAGTGGAGAGAATTCAGCAGGCGAGCAAAGAGGAGAAGAAAGGCATGGTCGTAGGAAGGCCTTCTTGACGGGAAAGAGCTCATCATGTGATGACACGAGCTGTGGGAGGAGAGGAAAACGGGTGGAGGAACGAGGGAAGAAGTGATGAGGCAAGGAGGTAGGAAAATCCGAGCATTGGAGTCAGCAACTGGCAAACAGTGTTTCCTCCACAAAGAATGAACCCAGCAGTTCCCGATCTTGGGTCCACAGATCGGGACGTTGCTCCTGTGATTCCGATCTGGGAGCAACGGGATCCATGCTTTCCTTATGCACCACCGTTCCTCTGCACCACCGTTCCTCTGCACCACCCGGTTTTGACCAAATCGAAACAAGAAGCTGCTGGTCATCCCCCTTCCCCTTGACCGTGCTCTACATTTGCATGGGGCGCACTCACATTGACAACCCTACTCGGGCCTGCGTTCCTGGCAGCCTGCTTGGGAACCCAGTTCAGTATCCGTATGCCTGTTCATTCGCCCTCCAACCCTCACCCTCACCCCAACACCTCACCCCCAGCCGCATTCTTTCCTTGCAAGGAACTCACATTGACAACCCTACTCGGGCCTGTGTTTGTGGCAACGTGCTTGGGAACCCAGTTGACTAGCCATATGCCTGCAGGAGTGGGGAAAGGGAAAGGGCGCAGATGGTGGAAACGAGAACAGGATGTTCTGAGGAGAAGGGGAAGGAGGGACAGGGGAAGGGGGAAGTAACGAATGACAGGGGAAGGGGGAAATAACGAATGACAGGGGAAGGGGGAAATAACGAATGACAGGGGAAGGGGGAAATAACGAATGACAGGGGAAGGGGGAAATAACGAATGACAGGGGAAGGGGGAAATAACGAATGACAGGGGAAGGGGGAAATAACGAATGACAGGGGAAGGGGGAAATAACGAATGACAGGGGAAGGGGGAAATAACGAATGACAGGGGAAGGGGGAAATAACGAATGACAGGGGAAGGGTAGAGAAGGACGGATGGATGGGAGCAGGAAATGGGGGAGCATACAGCTATACAGTATTACCTGTATCGGGTACAAGGTGTATTTGAGTGCTGTTGGTGAGCATGCCTCTATAGCAGTGGTATAGCACGGCCTCCTCTCTCTCCTCCTCGCCTGCCACAGCAACGAGTGAGAATGATGAGGAAGGTAGTACTATTTAGTTGATTCAAAACAAGGAGTGCTATAACACGGCCTCCTCTCTCTCCTCTTCACCTGCCACACCACCACAGCAGTGAGCAAGGGGAAAGAGATTGTTGGAAAAAAAACGAAAAATAAAAAACAGAGTCACACAGTCGCAAACAAGTTCAGTAGCAGGCAGCATGTGCAGTGATGTGGTGTGATGTGGTGTGATGTGGTAGGTGCTTCCGCCCCTAGTAACAACCACGGGGAGTGAAGCGAACAATCTGCACAGCTGGAGTGACTCACTCAGGTTGTTTGCTTCTGCCACTCGTACCGCCACCTCCTTGCCTCCAGCGGACACCACCAGCCTGCAGCAGAGAGACACGTGGCACAATGGAGGCATGCCACGTGTCGCAATGCAGAGATGAAAACCGGCATGGGGTCGACTTTGGGGGCACGAGACGAGCTTGCAAGCAGCAAACGTGTGGGTGGGATAATGCAAGCAACCAACTAACTGATAGAGTTCACAACATCTCTTTAAACAGTTTATTTAGAGGAGCCTTAAAATTAGTGAGAGGGGTCAAATAAGAGGCATACGTGTGAGAAACTGTGAGGACTTGATGACAGAATAATCGATAAATCTGATTGCACAGATCCCCAGCGTCTAAAGATAGGCACTCGGTCCCCTCCTTCTTCTCCTTCTCCTCCTCCTCCCCCCTCCCCTCCTCCTCCTCCTCCTCCTCCTCCTCCTCCTCCTCCTCCTCCTCCTCCTCCTCCTCCTCCTCCTCCTCCTCCTCTCCCCCTTCCTCCTCTTCCTCTGCCTCACCACCAACACTCCCTCCCTTCTCCATGCCTCCAGCGCCCCCTACTAGAACCCGAACCTCAAAATTCACATCTGCCATGTAAGGTGGAGATTGTAACAAGGGGTGGTGGGAAGAGTGAGGGACAGGGACATGGCATGGCACAATGGCGAGAAATCACACCCTTAAAGAGAATTCGCTAGTACACAAGCAGTGAAGCAGAAGCGATCTCGCGATGCAGAGGATAGCAGCGTACCATGAAGAGCGAATCTGGAGGGTGGAAGGAAGATGTCAAAGCCATAATGAATCTGCACAGGTATACAGCACACATACACACACATCGACAGACACACACGTATGCATGCGTGAACCCACGCGCTTGCGCACGCATACACACACACACACACACACACACACACACACACACACACACACACACACACGCACACAGACCCAATCCCATGCACGCAGACACACACACACACACACACACACACACACACACGCACACAGACCCAATCCCATGCACGCAGACACACACACACAGACCCAATCCCATGCACGCAGACACACGCACAATAGCACACGCACAGAGAACAGACAGACAGATAGACAGATCTAGATGAGAGCATGCCTGTAAAAAAGTTGTTGAGGCAGGGAGGCAAGGAGGCAACGAGGCAGCGGTGCAGAGAGGATAAATGCATGCACATGTATTGCAGCAAGGCTCAATGCATGCACACACACACTGCATCCAGTTGTTGCCGGCGTTTTTACAGAATTCTAGAAACAAACGCACACAGTGCACACATGATACACAGCAACGAGCCTCTCTACAGAGACTCTGCACTGAGTGACACACTAGGAGCTCACATCCAAGGCGAGGTGCATGTTGAATCGACGCACGGCAGAGAGGGAGAGAGGAGGAGAGGCAGAGAGGCTGAGAGGCAGAGAGGATGCAGGCACACGTAATGCCAGGCACACGTAATGCCATGCACACACCACAGCTACTCTCAGAAGGGAGGCACACTCACATCCGAGGCGAGGTGCATGTTGAATCGATGCACGGCCGAGAGGGCTATGGCGGCTGGTGGGACACATGGGTTGGGGCTGGCATGGGTATTGGGGGGGGAGAGAGAGAGGTTTGTTTTTTATCGGGCTGGTGCTGGGAATGATAACAGCGGAGTGATGATAAGTCATCATCATGCATCATGCAAACACATGGAACACACCGATGGATGTGTGCCCTCATGTATGTGTGTGTGCACATTTGTGCGGACGCCCATGTCCGTGATCGCACAAGCATGCATGCATGCATTCATGCACATGTGCGTGCATGTGTACTTACAGAACTGCTAGCACCCCATCGCTGCCACCCTGCATCACATGGCATGCGAACGCAACAAGGAAACGAGACGGCAGATTTTGGTGTAAGCATAGCGCCGGCAGGAGGAGAGTCAAGTCGAACGAGGGGACCACAAGTCAAGGTCCAGATTGCACCGCATTACCCCAGATTGCACCGCATTGCCTTGCCCCCTACACTGCCTTTGCTCGCACTTCCCCAAGTTTCACCTCGAGCCCACCTTTAGTCCCCATTCACCCCCCCCAAACGGTTCCCTAGCCCCATACCCCAGCACCGTTCCCAACCCATCCCCAACCCATTTCGCCGTACCTTCTGCACCAGGTATATGCACTCACATTCCCCCCCCTCCTCCCCCTCTTCTTGTCCCTTCCCCCCCAGTTGTTCTCCCCTCTCTCCCTCCTTCCCCTCCCTCTCGTCTCCTTCTGGGTCTCCTCCCCCGTCCCTTCCCCCTTGACCCTCCCCCATCCCCAGCAACCCGCGGATCCATCCCCCCACCGCCCCTCCGCCCATGATTCCCCCCCCGGCTGCGCCTCTCCCCCTCGCGCGCCTTCCCCGCGCGTTCAGATTCCCCCCCGACCCTTCTGCTTCCGCCTGCTGCCACGTGACTCTGATATCCGCCCAATCCGAAGGGTTCACTCCGCATTGCCGCCCTGCCAGCTCGGACAGCGGCCGCGCCGTTGCTCCGCTGGCGTTGACGGTGCTTCCGCGTGCCACGTTATCAGGATGGGTGGACGCTGACGTGTCAATATCTTCCCAGTTGACCACCTGGTTTGGGGGGCGAGACGAGGCTCGAAAGGGACGAATCAGTTTCAGTTGAATCAGTCCGGCTAGATTAGCATGGAACAAGCTGACCTCGATTACGAGCTTCGCGCCGGCGCGATAGACTGCGCGCTCTCTAGCGTCACATTCTACGGGTTAGGACACTGTAACGGTCAATTGCTCCTAATTCCGCATTCTCCCAAATCCAACTTAGATTCACGCCAGCCATGAAGCACAGGAAGCCTCGTGAAGGATAAGCGCGAATCATAACATTCAGTTCCATGACGCAAGCACACCTTCAGGCGGAAATGGCGCTTCGCTGGCGACTCGTCATTCGCCATTGTCACACGCGGCTAGTGTCAGTAGAATGCACTTATCAGTCGACCAATCAGAAGTTGTCAGAGCCCTGCCAAGTCAGTTCGAATTTAGGCTGTCCCGATTTGAGGTACACGCCTGACATAAATGTACAGAGTTTTACAAAAGTGTAGAGATACACTCAAATATTACCTCCCATACAAGAACCCGTCCCTTGTTTCGTTCTCCCAATCGGTGGCAACCACCTCTACAGTAAATCATCCTCCACCACAACTTCCCCTCGACAATGCACAATTTCAACAGCTAGAAAGCGGCCCTTGGTTGCTCAGGATCATTGTTCTGTAAGGCAACCCTGCACCGCATGTGGCAGCGGCGGATACGCTTTCACAGCGCGCCGTGACCTTTCCGTCACGCGACGACCGCCATGGCTCGCGGCGGAGGGACGAAGGTCAGATTACGCCCTCGTAGAACATAAGCATGTTCCAAGCACTTGAATTCGGCGCCTTACATGACTTATCGTAGACCCATGCAAACATTCTGACCAGCTTACGTCTGGATGATTTCTCATTCCATTACCCATTCTTCACTCTGTCAGTATTAGCTCTGTGCTCTTCCTCATTCCATTTTGCGCATACCATCTTCACCTTCTTCTAATATCTGACCTACTGTCGCTACCTTTTTCGTCATCAACTCTTCAGGGTGGACCTATCATGAAACGTGGATCGGTTGGCAAACCTGCTGCTGGGAAGACACGTGGCGGCAGCAGCGGAAAATCCAATCCCAAGGATTCGTCACGGAAAACTACTGGTTCCGCGCAGCCCGCTAGCCGGCTAGCCGGCAGCAACCGTGGCCGGGGACGCGGGGGAACGGCAGCGGGTCGAGGAGGCAAAGCCGGCGCGAAATCCCCCAAGCCAGCGAAACCACCGGCTCCGGCGACGGCGGCGGAGGAGGAGGACGTTGAACTGTCCGACGAGGACGTGGCATTCTTCGCGCAGCACCAGAACTTCGCGCGCTTCCTCTCGGGCCTCGAGGAGCAGCAATTGGGCAGGTGAGCGGTCAATCGCTCTGCCCGTACGCGTTTCGTCGCACATTCTATCCTAGTAAATATTATTTATATAAATCATATCCGGCGTGGTTAATACTGACAGATTCATTGTTTTCCAATGTGTCCTGTTTATCGTCAGTGAAACCAAGGGAGCCAAGCCGAAACTGCCTAGACAAGATCGTGCTGAGAACGGAAGCGATGCTGACGGTAGTGAGGATGATGGAGAGAAGGAGGCTATTGGTGATGATAAGGACTCAGAGGTTTCGGATGCGAGCGATGACGAGGACGGGGATGACGTGGATGAGGATGACGTGGAAGAGGACGTGACTGACGAGGATGAGGAGCTAGCGGACGAAGAGGAAGAGGATGAAGATGGAGCAGCGGATGCGCGGATGACGGGAGACGAAGATGAGGAGGACGAGAAGGAAATAGAAATGGCGGAGGACGAGGAGGAAGAGAAGGAGGAGGATGACGAGGAGGAGGAATTGGAGCCTGTGATTTCTGATGACGAGTTTGATGATGAGGATGAGGAGGAGGACGACGATGAAGAGGAGGAGAAGGGTAACTTTAGCGACGACGACGACGATATCGGCGTGATGGTTTTCGCCGACTCGTCAGCGGCTGGTCTTGGCTCTCTACCCCAGAAAGGCGCGAAAGGCAAGGCGGGGGAATCGCTCCGAGCGGGCAAAGGGAAGGGTGGAGCGAAGGGGGATGGGGGGGAAGGGGAAGACGGGGAGGAGGGCGCGGAGGGGGAGGGGGAAGAGGAGTCGGAGGATGAAGAGGCGGAGTACGAGAGGGGATCCCGCCGCCCGGGGTGGGCTGCGCCTGCAGGGGTGGCGGGGAAATTTGCGCCGAAATCCCGCGCTGCTTCCGCCAGCGCTTCCGCGGGCATGGATAGAGACGCGGAGGAGGTTGCGGTGGAATTGACAGCAGGGGCGGGGGGGGAGAAGAAGGGTTCAATGCGGGGTTTCGGGCTTATCGCGGCGAGGGACAAGGGGGTGCTGGTGGATGCCGTTGACGCTCTGCCGGTTAAAACCCTTGACGGCCGGCTGATGTTCCGAGCGATTGAAGTGGCCGAAGGGGCGGAGGTAGAGAAGGGGGAGAAGGGGAGAGAAACGGGTGCGGAGAAAGAGGATGGGAAGAAAGGGGGGAAAGGGAAGAAGGGGGAGGAGGAAAAGAGAGGTCTGAAAGGAGAGGAGAAGGTTGGGGAGGAGGTCGAGGGCGAGGGCGAGGAGGAAAAGGAAGCAGGGGCCAGGAAGCAACCGAAGGATGCGTCAAAGCTTACTCTGCAAGAGCAAGCCATGGTACGTTCCTTCCTCCCATCTTTCCGCCTTATACTCAAAGCCTACCAGGTATGGTGACGGTACGTCCAAATCCGTTGGTACTGTTTTTTGCCCGTTCATGTTGTGAATTTTGTCTTTCTGTATGCCTTTATGTGAAATCAACTGTTTCTTTTCCTGCTGATTTTTATCAGATGGAGTTGCAAGAGGAGATGTCGGTGGAGGAGCGGAGGGCGGCAGTGAAGAAGGCTATAGCGCGGATGAGCACGCAGATTCTCGCTGACCCCGAGACGCACATCGGCATGTTGAAGTCGCTGCACGTGAGTGTCGTGTCGTATCTGCACGTGAGTGTCGTGTCGTATCTGCACGTGAGTATCGTGTCCTATCTGCACGTGAGTGTCGTGTCCTATCTGTACGTGAGTGTCGTGTCCTATCTGCACGTGAGTGTCGTGTCCTATCTGCACGTGAGTGTCGTGTCCCAGCCGCAACGACTGTGGCTGCATGCGATGTAGTGAGGATAGTGAGCATCAACGCACATCTAGAGTGCCCCTGCCTTCAAACCCAAACCCCCCCTTTCCCCCACGCTCCCTTTCCTCGTTTTCCACCCATTTCAGAAGCTGTGTTTGGACCTGGACGCCATTGTGGCCAGCCTCGCAGTTCTCTCCCTGACAGCCGTGTTCCGGGACATCATCCCCGGGTACCGCGTGCGCATGCGCTCGGAGAAGGAGCGCGCGATGGTGATGAGCAAGGAGGTCAAGAAGCGCTGGCTCTTCGAGGAGGGTCTGCTGCAATCCTACCAGGTCCGTCATATGAAGCAGGTTCAGGGTTTTTGTCTCCTAGTCACCTCAAAACAAGCCGTTTTTCACGTCGCGCGGAGAAGGAGCGGGCGATGGTGATGAGCAAGGAGGTCAAGAAGCGCTGGCTCTTCGAGGAGGGGCTGCTGCAATCTTACCAGGTACGATTTGTAACGGGGATTTGCTGTTTCGTGTGTGCTTGCTTCCGCAAACTGCTGATGCAGTACGAAGGTATGTTGATTCTCAGCCGCTTAAGCCGCTTTAAGTCGCCTGGAAAGACCCTAATCCTCGGGTTCTTCTTTTGGAATCGGGCGATGCGCAGTGATGAAATTGGATTGGCTGAGAGGCGTCGCCTCGTTGACGCTCCCAATAGACTACAATTTCCTGAGCGCTCTCCTGCCCTCCAACCCATCCCTCCTTCCCTCCAACCCATCCTCCTTCCCTCCAACCCGTCTCTCCTTCCCTCCAACCCGTCTCGCCCCACTCTCTTAGTGTTCGTATTTTTCGGCCGGCCAGAAGCTAACAAATTCTGAGGGTCTAGTTGATTCTGCACGTGGGAAAAGAGGAGAGGGATTGTGGGTGAGGGAAGTGAACTGACCCTGTAAGGACGAGTTTGAAAGGGGGGAGGATGGGTAGCGCGGTGATGACACTGGATTGGGGTTTAGGATGGGATGGGGGGAGCTGGGGATGGGTAGCGCGGTGATGACACTGGATTGGCTGAGAGGCCTTCGCCTCGTTGACGCTCCCAATAGACTACAATTTCCTGAGCGCTCTCTGACAACCCTTCAACCAATCTCTCCCCACTCTCCACAGCATTCCTCGATTTCCTGCTTGCAGTTTTCAAATTTCTGATCGTTTATTTTTCTGATTCTGCATGTGGGAAAAGGGGCAAGGGGAAGTGGATGGGGAACCGAAATGGGGGGGATTAGGATGGGATGGGGGGAGCTGGGGATGGGTAGCGCGGTGATGAAATTGGATTGGCTGAGAGGCCTTCGCCTCGTTGACGCTCCCAATAGACTACAATTTCCTGAGCGCTCCCCCGCAGTCCCTTTCAATCTATCCTCTCTCCCATCCTGTCACCCTCGCTCAGCCTTGCCTTCGCTCTGTGCTGGTTAAGTTGTGAGTCGCAAAAAGTCCCTCCCCTCGTCCTAATGCTTTCTCCACATTTCGACGCCAGGCATTCGTGTCGCTCCTCCTGAAGCACGCCAAGCAAGCAGCGCGCCGAGCCTTATTATTTGAAGCAGCGTGCAAAAGCCTCCTTATTTCTTCTTGCCCCCCGTGCTCAACCCTTTCACTCTCATCCCTCCAGTCATTCGTCACGCTCCTCCTGAAGCACGCCAAGCAGGCAGCGCGCCAGTGAGGTGATTTTTGAGGCGCCTCAAAAATCACCTGACTGCTCAAAAATCACCTCACTGCTTCTGAGGCGCCTCAAAACCGTCTCATCCCTTCAGTCATTCGTGACTCTCCTCCTGAAGCACGCCAAGCAGGCAGCGCGCTGAGTCTATTGCCAATTCCTAAGCAATCCTTCATGCCCCCTTTCGTGCGTACCCCTTTCTCTCTCTGCTCTCCCCTCTCCAGTCCTTCGTCACGCTCCTCCTCAAGCACGCCAAGCAAGCAGTGCGCCATGCCTTATGCACATTTCCAATCATTCCTCCCATCCCCCTTTTCCCTCCATACCCATCCTTTCCTCTCTCTGTTCTCCCCCCATCCAGTCATTCGTCAACCTCCTCCTGAAGCACGCCAAGCAGTCAGCGCGCCGAGCCGTGTCAGTGCGTGCAATGTGCGGACTGCTGCGCGCCGCCCCGCACTTCAACTGCCGGTCGGAGCTCGTTCGCGCAATCATTCCGCGCATGGACCTTGCAGACGACAGCATTAGGTGAGAAGGGTTCAGGGTCCGGGGTTCGGGGTTTGACGTTCAGAGTTTCAGTGTGGGTATTTTTGGGCCCCAACTGCCGTTCGGAGCCCATCCGCGCAATCATTTCGCGCATGGACTTCGCGGACGATCGCATCAGGTGGGAAGTCACAGGGTTCGGTGTTCGGGTTTGGGGTTTTGAGGTTCGGAGTTGGCCTTTGTGGCCCGCATTTCAGCTGCTGCTCGGAGCTCATCCGCGCCATCATTCCGCGCATGGACCTCGCGGACGACGGCATCAGGTAGGGACGAGGTTCGGGGTTTCAGGGTTTCGGGGTTTGGGACTAGCAAAGGAAATAGCACTTGCGACGGCCGCTCGTAGCTCATTCGCGCAATCATTCCGCGCATGGACCTCGCAGTCAACAGCATCAGGTAGGAATTCTGGATCTGGGGTTTGGGGTTCAGAGTTTTAGTGTTGACTACTGAGGGTTCGGGGACATTCAACTGCCGTTTCAAGTCGACTCAAAACACGAATTCTGGATCTGGGGTTTGGGGTTCAGATTTCTAGTGTTGACTACTGAGGTTTGGGGGGTTTGGGAACATTAAGTGCCGTTTTAAGTAAAGTCCCCCCAGCTGCCGTTTGTAAATCCTTGGCGTTACCTGTCCATCTCTAAACTCACTATCCCCGATCCCCTTCCCTTCCTATCCCCCTGCCTCCAGCTCCCTCTGCTGCAACACCATATCGGAGTTGATGCGGGAGGACGGCAGGCACGATGGAGAGGCCACAGTGGAGGCGGCGGAGCTCGTTGCTGACTTCATCCGCCAGCGCTGCTGCGTCACGCGCCCTCAGGTACGTCACGCGCCCTCAGGTGCTGCTGCGGCCCCACTCACCTCTTCCACCCACCTCTTCCACCCACCCACCCCCACCTCCCTCCAACCACTCGCCCACTTCCCCTCCCCTCCCCGCTTCCCACGCACCCGCCTCTCAACAGTCATTACTCTTTCCCCTTAACTTACCTGCGTTATGCTCCCATTCCCTCCAGTGCAACCCTGAAACCCGCAAGTTCCACTCTGGGTGTTTCACCCCATTCCCGTCGTCCTCTTCCATCTCGGGCATTATGAGCTGCTGATCGTCTTCCATGTGTGTTTTTCTAACCCTTTCTTTCACTTCCCCATCTCCCGCCCCTCCTCCACCTTCCTGCCCATGCCCCCGCCTTCCCTGCTGTTCCCCTTCCTTTCCTCCCTCCCCCCCCCCCATTTCGCCCCCCATTCTCCAATTCTCCCGCTGCAGGTGCTGATGGTATTCCACCCCCTTGAGTTCGACGACGATCTGCTCCAATCCGCGGAGGGCCGCGCAGCCGGGGGACCGCGCGGAGGCGCAGCGCGGAAAGCCACTTGGGGCGCGGGGGGAGCAGGGGGAGCGGCGGAGGGGGAGGAGCAGCAGGCGGGAAAACCCAAGTCCAAGAAAGAGCGGAAGCTGGAGAAGCGGAAGGAAGCCGCGCGGATGCGGAAGGAGGTAGAAGGGGACTTTAGAGAGGCAGAGGCAGTGCGGGATGAGTCCACGCGAAAGCAGCAGCAGGCGCGGGTGCTAGCAGCCGTGTTCGAAGCGCTTTTTAGAGTAGTTAAAGCCGCGGCTATGCTGCACCAGCCGCGCCCCACAGACGGGTCCGGCGCGCTCTCCCTTCCCCCGCGCCCACTGCTCCCCTCCGCGCTTTTCCTGATTGGCCACTTTTCGCATCTGCTGTCGGTGGAGTATTTGCCGGATCTGCTGTCCACGCTGCGCCAGCTGGCTGCTGACGTGGCGACGCCGTTGGACGGGGACGATGATGACCTGGCAGGAGGATGGGGGGAGGATGGGGGGGAAGCAGGGGGAGGAGATGTGGGGAGGGGAGGGGATGTGGTGACGTGGGAAGGGGGAAGGAGGCGGAAATTAGGGCTTAGGTTGGAAGATCGATTGACGTGCTGTGTGGTGGCGCAGAGGGTTATGAAGGCTAATCTAGATTCACTGAATGTGGACATGCGCGGGTTCGTGACACTCGTGTACCAGATGATTCTCGAGGCGCCAATAGTCCCCGCACAAGTCGCTGCCCTCTCGTCAGAATCACCCTATGCAAAAGCATCCTCGTTAAAAGCGGCCTCGGAGGAAGGGGACTCGTTAGAAGAGGAGGTGATCACGCCAGGAGGTAGCGCGATATCCTCGTTAGAAGCAGCCCTCGTATCCGCGTTACAGGAGGTGTTCATGTCGTCGGGTCACAGACAGGCGGACATGACTCGCTGTGCTGCGTTCATCAAACGGCTCTCCGCTGCTGCTCTTCACCTCTCTGCTGCTGGGGCTGTTGCTGGTGAGTCTCTATGGTTTAGGGAGTGGTGAGTGGTGGGCGCTGAGTGGTGAGTGGTGAGTCAGGAGGTGTTCATGTCGTCGGATCACCGGCAGGCAGACATGACGCGCTGTGCTGCGTTCATCAAGAGGCTTGCTGCTGCTGCTGTGCTGCATCTCTCTGCTGCCGGCGCTTGTGAAGGTTCAGGGTTTGAAGTATTGTGTTTTACCACACTTCAGCAATGCGTGCCTCTTGATGGATTTTGATGGATGTCCTTCTGACGGCCATGCTCCGTGCATGGCAGGTGAAGTCCGACAATTGCTGAAGGCACAGTGTTATCTCAATCGTATGTTTTTTTAGAATTCTCAAAAATCATACGGCCGTGCTCCGTGCATGGCAGATGAAGTCCCACAGTTGCTGAAGGCGCATTGTTATCTCAATCCTGTTTTTTTTAGAATCCAACAAAAAACAGCTGATCTCACAAGGTTATCAATCCTGGGGCACTACGTTCGTGGCTGCTGATGGACCCAGAATTCGGCCTGACTGTCATGCTCAATGCATGGCAGATGAAGTTAACCCTTGCTGAAGGCACCGAATCATCGCAATGCAGTGGGGGATAGCTGCATCTCCGCTCAACTCTGAAGACCCACTGCATCTCCGCTCAACTCTGAAGACCCACTGCATCTCCGCTCAACTCTGAAGACCCACTGCATCTCTGCTCAACTCTGAAGACCCACTGCATCTCCGCTCAACTCTGAAGACCCACTGCATCTCTGCTCAACTCTGAAGGCCCGCCACATCTCTCCGCTTCCCTGTATACGCTGCAGTGCTGCTGCTAGCAACGTGCAACTTTCTGCTGTGTAATCTGACATGTCTCAACGCACGTCTATCTATCCCTTCCCCTTTATGTGTCCCTGTGTGCCTCGCAGTGCTGCTAGTGCTGCTAGCGCTGCTAGTGGTGCTAGTGGTGCTAGTGCTGCTAGCGCTGCTAGTGGTGCTAGTGCTGCTAGTGCTGCTAGCGCTGCTAGTGCTGCTAGTGCTGCTAGCGCTGCTAGTGCTGCTAGTGCTGCTAGTGCTGCTAGCGCTGCTAGTGCTGCTAGTGCTGCTAGTGGTGCGGCACTTGCTCCTCCGCTATCCGTGCTGCCTGCCCGTTCTCACCACACGTTTATCCCCGCCCCTCCTTCTCCTTTATGTGTCCCTGTGTGCCTCGCAGTGCTGCTAGTGGTGCGGCACTTGCTCCTCCGCTATCCCCGCTGTAGAGTGCTCTTAGACAACAGAGAGCCTTCATTTCCTCAATCGCCTTACCCGACTTTTTCAAGCCCAACTCTCTCCTCTCTCCGTCTCCCTGTGTGTGTGCCTCGCAGTGCTGCTAGTGGTGCGGCACCTGCTGCTGCGCTATCCCCGCTGTAGAGTGCTCTTAGACAAGGACCCTGACGACGATCTGCACGCTTCAGGGGGCGGCCTTGGCCCCTACGGCGGCCTAGCGGTGAGTAGTGTGGTGCAGTATGGTGCTCTGCGGTGCTGTGCTCTTGGGTGCGTTTCTCCGCTATCCCCGCTGTAGAGTGCTGTTAGACAAGGACCCTGATGACGATCTGCACGCTTCAGGGGGCGGCCTCGGCCCCTACGGTGGCCTTGCGGTGAGTAGTGACAACAGTTGTGCTCCCTTTACCCTTTGTTGAGCTACTGCGCTCCCACAGAACAAAGTTGTCTGCCTTCATGTAGTCTCATTTCTTGGATTTGCCCTCATTTCCGCTCGTCCCCCTGTTCTCCCTCCTCACCCTCGTTTCCGTCCTCGTCCCCGCCAGCGCTACGACCCAGCAGCATCGGAACCTGAGCTCTCAGCAGCCCTCACATCGTTCCTCTGGGAGTTCTCCTCATTTTTCCCTTCTTTTTCCCCTGCTTCGCCTTCTCTCCTCTCCTCATTTCCCCCTTCCCCTCTCCCCCCCCTCCAGCGCTACGATCCAGCAGCATCAGAGCCAGAGCTCTCAGCCGCCCTCACGTCGTTCCTCTGGGAGCTCTCCCTTCTCGCCCGCCACTACCACCCGCACGTTGCCAGCCTGGCGCGCCACGTCAGCACCATTGCCACGTCACCCTCTGCTGCTGCCGCCACCGGCAAGCCAGCTAAGGGGGTTGCTGATCCGTACCAGAAGGGGCAGCCGCAGAAGCAGCAGCAGCAGCAGCAGCAGCAGCAGCAGCAGCAGCAGCAGCAGCAGCAGGAGGCAGGCGGTTCATCAGGTGGTTTTTCAGGTGCTACTGATCTGCTGCTCCTAGCTGGTATAGTGAACAGTGGTATTGACAGCCGCATGAACAGTAACATGAACAGTGGCATAAGCACCGTACCAGTAGGGGTGGTAACCCCATCCCAAGCGTATGCCGGCTACAGTGGCGCTGTCACTGAATCGTGCTTTCGGCCAGCTGTCGCGACGCCATTGGCCGTGAAATCTGGCGCGGCGGGCGCTGCTGCCAGGCGGTGGCGGAAGGAGGTGGTGCTGGGGCGGATGAGGCGGAAGCGGGGGAGAGACGAGGGGGAAGGGGGGAAGGACGGAGGGGGGAAGGGAGGAGCAGCGGAGGAGGAGGAAGAGGAGGAGGCAGGGTGGGGGATGGGGGACTGGGCAAGGAGGGTGCGGGTGTCGTGTTGGCAGCAGTGGGGGGCGGCTATGAAGGCTGGGGCAGGAAGCAGCAAGGCAGGGAGTGGCAGGAGAGGCGGAAAGGGCAAGATGAAGCAGCCACAGCAGTTGAAGCAGCAAGTTTCAGTGGAAGTAGGGAGGCAACAGAAAGCAGCTGGCAATGCTGCTGTGGGAGTGGTGGCAAAGCGAGCCAAGAAGGATGCGGCCGCTGCCTGACAAGGGGCCACGATGAACGGGGAGGCAGGCACGAATCCCGGGCCGTGGGGTGGCTGCTTGGTGCCTGCTGCTTGCACCTTGAAACGAAGAAGACTGAAGATTCTGTTCCGTCTGGTACGTGTACAGCATCAGACCTTCGGTCGATGCCTCTGAATCGCGCTGAACCATGCTGGATCGCGCTGAATCGTGCGGGAATCAGGTCGGCCCCTTTCTTACGACGTGGTTTTTCTGTCTAGTCTGGCCGACACTGCTGATGCGAAAGCTCAGTATCCTAAACACCAACAGCAGCCTTGTACACCTTCTGCCGATGTAAGCACTGCTTTGTTATGAAGCCATGAGCCACACCCCCGGCCCCCCCTGCTGTGAGCCCATGGGGTGCCTGATGATGCTTTGTTGACGCGCATCAAATAAACAACCGAGTGCCTCCAATGGCACATGAGGACTACTACTGCTGAAGGCACGCTTCTTACTCCATGGCACGGCACTTGCACTCTTGCACTCTTGCGCAGTCCACCTCCTTTGCCTTTCTGTGCCCCGTTGCTTTCTTCTCTTTCTCGACTCACCTTTCCTGGCAAAAGGCATCGCTTTCTTTCTGGCTTGCCGTGCCTGAATGGTCTGTTTTTACTTTTGAGTCGACTCAAAAGTCTGCCTGGTCTGTGATGCTACCAACAACTTCCTTACCTACATTACCTGAGCTGGGTGGGCCCTCGGGTTCCTTCCGCTGCTGATCCACATGATAAACTGAGACCAGGTTCTGTCTAGGAGAATTGACAGAAGTGATTGCTCTTTATTGACACACTCTCTTCTTTGATTCCTGTGAGCCAACCAACCTTGCTGTAAGTCCATGGGGTGCCTGATGATGCTTGTTTTACGCACATCAAATAAACAACCGAGTGCCAGCAGTGGCACATGAGGACTACTACTGCTGAAGGCATACCTGAATTTCACCTGAATTTCACCTGAATTTCACCTGAAAAGCAATTCACCTTCATTCCATTACACCTGAATTACTGAGGGGCACTTTCCGTGCCTCTCTCAAAGCACCGTCTTTCTTTGGAGTTTGAAACCCATCGTTTGGTACTTCCGCCGTTCTCCGTACCTTGCGGTTTTTTTTTCTTTTCTTTTCTTTTCAGAAAGGTCTCCATTTCAAAACTGGATTGTTGTGCTGGCTATCTTTTTGTCTGGTCTGTGATGCTACCAATCAACTTCCTTACCTACATTACCTGAGCTGGGTGGACCCTAGGGTTCCTTCCGCTGCTGATTTACATTCCAAACTGAGACCAGCCCTTACCTTGAGAAATCGCTTGTCCCTTCTGCCATCATCCCTGCTATTCTTATGTCCTATCTCTCCTATAAATCTCCTCCCCCGTGTCCGTCCCTCATTTTTCTCACTACCCCTCATTTGTATTTGTGCTTGGAGAAAGTGAGTCTGCTCTGGGGCAATCTTCAAAATGAGAAGAGATGCCGGTGACAGGGAGTGTGTTATGATGAGGAAACCCTCTGGGAAAATCAAGAGATAGTGCACTATGCACTGAATGAGCTTCTTAAATCCAATAGATCCTCCTGAACACTTTCCTGCCTGTTCTGTACTCGCTTCCCCTTGCCTCTTCATATGTTTCCTCCCTGTGTGGTTGCTCTCTCCTTGCTATTCCATCCCTCACTCTTCTGTCCCTTACTCTCTCTGAGCACCTTGCTATCTCTCCCCTTCTCCCTCCCTCAGGTCTCCCTCTCTCTCATCTCCCTCCCTTAACTCTATTACCTTCTCTCTTTTGTGATGTCCTGTCACGTGTCCTTGCTTCCATGCCTTCTTTTCTTTGGGCAGTGGAAAGTGTTATGATGAGGAAACCCTCTGGGAAAATCAAGAGACAGTGCAGCAAGCACTGAATGAGTTTCTTAAATCCAATAGATCCTCCTGAACACCCTTCTACTAGCTTGGCTTTCCTGACTTTCTCTATCCCCCACATCTCCGCGAGTCCAGTCTCCCACCATCCCCTGTCTCTCTCCCCACCTTGGCTCCCCTCTTGGCCTTTGGCTGATGTGTGGGTCACTGATTGTCAATGCTGAGATGTTGTGTAATGATGAGGAAACCCTTTTAGGGAACAAGAGACAGTGCATCAAGCACTGAATGAGTTTCTTAGATCCAATAGATCCTCCTGAACACCCCTCTACTGACTCCGCTTTCCTGGCTTTCTTGCCCCCCTGCCTTTCTCTATCCCCCACATCTCCCAACTCCAGTCTCCCTCCATCCCCTGTCTCTTTCCCCCCCTTGGCTCCCCTCGGCCTTTGGCTGATGTGAGTGTCACTGATTGTCAACGCGTAGATGTTGTGTGATGAGGAAACCCTTTTGGGGAACAAGAGACAGTGCATCAAGCACTGAATGAGTTTCTTAAATCCAATAGATCCTCCTGAACACAAACCTGCTGGATTTCTCTCCACCACATCCCTTCAATGTCACTTCCTTGGCTCTCTATTCGCTTACGGTACCCTCCCATTTCCTCCCGTCTCCTTACGTTCCACCTCTCTTCCCCATTTCCCCCATGCAGTTCAATCAACATAGTTATGGAAAAAAGATTCTTGAGATGCCTTGAGGAGTCATGCACTGCAGTGAACATTGTCCCTGGATCATTCTTATGGGGTCCAGAGCAGGAGACAGACAGTGCTCCCTAGTTGCCTGTCATTTTCCAGCACTTGCCAAGCATCAACATTAGCACTGTTGAGGGCGAATGTATAAGCTGGATTCTTAATGTTGATGTGAAGAACAGTACTAATGTAGAAGGTGCTACACTCCCTGATACAATTTTACATCTGATGTGAGCACAACGGACAAACTACCAGTAGAACACATCAGCTCTTTCTCAAATAGCTCATCAGCTCTTTCTCAAATAGCTCATCAGCTCTTTCTCAAATAGCTCATCAGCTCTTTCTCAAATAGCTGTCAAATCGAGCTCACTACCAATATTCCCGAGTGTACAAGTAACGCGACCGCACGTAACAGGCTCGGGCGAAACCTCCACAGGCACGAAGCGAGATCCGCAGATGCGACCCGAGCCCTCAACGTGGGGCACGGGGCGGAATTCCGTACCAGGGTCCTCGAAACTGCCGAGACCAGTAGCCGTCGAGTAAAAGCAGCCTGCGGGATGTGTGGTGGGGCAGGGTGGGGTCGGGTGGGGAAAGGCGGAAGAGGGCGGGGAAGGGCGGGATAGGAGAACAGGAAAAGGTGGATGAAACTGGGAACCAATTGCAGATGAGAAGCAGCAGCATCCCAGCTGTCAGGGTGGACTGGTGGTGAGACAAGAGACGGAAAAAAATTATGACATGTCGAAAACGAACGTGATGTATCCTTACATGAGAATGCAAAGAATGTGATAGAATACAATTACGTCATAATAATACTCCTGCACGGGTACACACCTGGAGGGAAGGGCGCGTGGGTGGTGGGGCAGCATGCTCGCAGCAGGCCCAGGTCGTGCGACACGGCGATGCGACGGTCGCGACACATGGCCCAGTGCAGCTCCACGTGGCTGTCGCCGTCCTGTGATTGTACCGAGTCACACACGGCGGAGAAAACGTAACGAGGCGGAGTTGAAAAGGCGAGAGGTAGCGTGCAGCCAAGTCATGGCCACTGGAAAAACAGAGAAAGACCACAATGGTATAGCATCAAGTTGGCCCACGCACGTTCATTCGTTCCTCTCTCTGATTCAGTTAGCTGGTCTCTGCTATATGGTGGTCTGCCTTTTCGTTTTTTTTTGTAATTACCGGCCATTTTCACTCACAGCTGCGATGAACGCGTTGCCCGTTTCGTTGTCGTAAATCATCGTGGAAAACGGCCCGACCATTTCCCCGAGCGCGGATTCCGCAGAATGCGACACCTGGTCGTACAGCAGGGCACTCCGAAGCGCCTTGTACATCCCCAGCACGAGCTGCGACTCGCTCGTATCGTGACCGTGGCCGCCGGCGACGCCGTACGACCGCCGCAGCTGTGCGACGTTGTCTATGCGACCGGTGAAGACGCAGAAGACGTCGCCGGACGCGGCGAGCTGCGTGTGATGGAAGGAGTCGTCGCCGTCGTGCGAGTAGCCCAGCACGGCCTGCGCGCCGAGCTGTATGCTCGCCGCGTTGGGATGGCGTTTCAGAAACTCCTGGAGGAGCTCGGCTGACGTGGCACACTTGGAAGCGTCATAACTGACGTCGCATGGGAGCTCGACGAGCGACTCGTCGAAAATGGCCAGCGCCATTCGCAGTGGTTATGAGTAGATCCTACTCTGCCTTTTGGAAACAACCAGATTCAATGTGGGAGGGACGACGTCAATAAGAAGACGGAAAATAAGGCGGAAACTCGACTGGAAGTTGCGAAACTAGCTTTGGGCCGCTGAACGTTGAGAGTCGTCCACAATTTCGACCGGAGGGGGCAATGTAACTAGCACGTTTCAGAAGCAGCGCTCACCAGGCTGCAGACTAGTAAATGCACTATCGGTTCAGGAGGAGGTAATAGAGGTCTAAGCTGAGAAGCCAACAGAAGAATGAACAAACAAAAGAAGTGGCATGTGGGAAGGACGAGCAGAGAAGAAGGATTACAAGCGTGGGATAAATAGGACCAGCTGGAAGGGTGAATGTGGTGAGAGCGGAATCTGCGGTGATGATGCTGGGGGGGAAGGTGGCTGCTGGAAGCAATTCTGCGAGACAGCTCACGTGAGGACGTGTTCTATCTTCTCTGATCGCTAGGTTGAGTCAGGGTCCTCTGTGTAACTGAACTCCAATGAGCTTGTTTTTTGCATGATATTTAGTGTCAATGTCTTTGTAAACCAGACACGCAGTTGAGTCCCTTTTGAGCATTTGATATTTTGACTAGGCCCTTCAAACCAACAGCGCGACAGATTTGCACTGCTGGCAATGCCAACGCGACAGACGACATTTACCACTTCGCAGCGATAGTGCCGCGAACCGTTTGTTTTTGGCAACCGTGGCTTTCGACCGACCTGGTGAGGCATGAATTCCATGTG